TCACATGTCTTTGTGTCCTTTTGTGAACAACAAAAAAAGATAATTTGTTCTAAATGTTTAAATTTTATGTGATTTAATGAGAACAGTAAGCAATTCCACAAAACACTGAACACACCAGTTCTGTGTCTATTAGAGATCTCATTTTTGGAAGTTCTTGTCCAAGTGTATGTAATATTGTATCYATTGCTTGTGAAATGAGCAGAGAAGAAGCATCTCACTCACCCTAATTTCATGCCTGTTATTCAGATTTTTACATCCCTAAAATATACTGAGCACATATTAAGGAAGAAGCAAACAATACTAATTGTATCTACTCGTGTAAACTATATAAACAGTTTAATAATATATGAAASCATTAAATCTACTCATCTTACCTGYTTGTTGATAATTTCTATTTTTCTAATTATGAAGTAGTCCAGAAGCTGGTAATTGTGTAGCCTGAGACAGAAATTAGCCAGGTCTTTAGAGTCACAGGGAGGTTCAGGCCAGTATCGATGACATTTGACTTGCCCTAGCTCCACTTCTTTTGTCATCATGGCAATCACATCCGATTCGCTCTCCCAGACCATTTGCCAGAAATCAGCCATAGTGGATGGCAGAGGCCCTTGGGTTATAATATAAAAATGTTCCTCTTCTCCAACATTCATTCTAATATAACTTGCATTAATGTAGCCATTCTTTTCTCCCAGAGGAACTCGTGTCTTATCATCTGCACAGAAACAGAATAAARCTATTTCAGCTGTGGATTTGAAACAGAGTTCTACCATCTCCAGCATTCAGGATACAGGAAACCTCAGTCTCTCCAGAAAAGTATGCATCTGGATTTTGGAATACATTTTACTAGTAGCACTAATATTAATCACTGCTGGTAGAAATTCTCACAGATAAACTGTATGGATCATTGCAGCTTTGTTTCTCTGAAGATTCTTGTGTAACACCATGACAAGCCTTCTAATTACTATAGAATTGTTTGGCAGTGATCCAAAGTAGTGCATMCAATGCTGCTTTTTATGTATTGCATAGGAACATTGGCACTGGTTATTGGTGTTACAAATTAGGAAAACCTCTAAGAATATATATAAACTACATCACTGATATATAGAGGGGTTACAAATTTTTGTGTGTGTTGTCCTGCTGCTGCAGTCTAGAAAGACAGAAAGGGTCCAGAAAATTTTCTCTTTCTGTTTCTCTGATGTCTTTGTTCACATTCAAAYGAATGTTCTCATTTCTCTGCATACTTACATGGAAGGATATCTCTGTATCTGTTTTTATTCTGGTTTTCTGGTGCTTTGCCAGTTCTGCAGTCATCTATTGGTTTCACATGTTCTAAAGCCTAGATCAAAAAGAAAGAGTCAATCCATGTTGTTCACACACTCTTTTTATAATGTCAGTGTGAGCAAACTTTACTGCTGTATGTGACCTAAGACTAGCAAATAGACTTCTTACAGAAGATAATCAGTAAATCATTCTCTAAACTTCTAGGCAAGGAATTCAAGTTGATCAGTATTTTCTTCAGCCTACACAATATTTCTGCGATTTTCAAGGGGTATTTCCAACCCTAATGCTCAGACCCAGTCTTTACAAGCCCCTCTTGTATATTCCTGTTTTACAGATGCTTGAAATACTGTCTTGGCCAAATATCAGCATTTATGATTGGTAACATACTGACTAAAACGCTAACTATTGCATTATTAATGGTGCAATAATGACAGTGAATACTGTTCAGTGATGGAGAAAGCAATGAATATAGGGAACAGCACCAATGATATTAAGTGCAAATTATACAGTTGTTAAGTACTTCATAGCAGATTTAGGGGAACTGAATGCAGTGCAGTTGCAAGCACGAATGTGCAAATTAATTTCATACACAGTTTTGGGTTACCTTGACATTTTTTTATTCTTCTACCTATTTGCTCTGCATTGCACAATGCTCAACTATCACATTCTGTCACTATACGTTTATAGGAACTGAAGTATATGTGACAGTTCTTGAACACTTTAATCAATTACTACAGATTTTACTGAGACAAAATATCCACTGGCTTAGGTAAGCGGTGCGTTACGTATTAGTTCTTTATGTTTTCTATGCAGACGTGTGACTCAGCTCATAGTAAGCTATTCCTACATCAGTAATGGAATGGAATGAATGAAATTCGTACATGACCTTGAGCCTTCAGGGAAAGTCAGTAAATCCTACACACTGAGCTTGTGGGATTTTGTACCCAGAAAGTCAGAGATACAAAGGGAAGCGAAAGAAACTGATAACATTGCAATTACTGTGGAAAAGTGGGAGCAATCCATTTCACTGGTAATGAGCATGTCCTTTAAAGGAAAATCCAGTACTATGTCAAAGAATTACAAATAATATGTTCTTTGGGAATTTGATGATAACTGCAAATTCTATTGATGTTCTGAAGAAAGAGATTGTATAAGCCTTTTTAATTTTATGGTATTTGTGATTTATATGCAATCAGATGTAATTATGTGTTTTCATTATCTATGGAGGTATATTAGTTTTTCTTTCTAATTTCACTAAGTCCCTGACTTTAACAGCATCTTATGGCAATGGTTCTGTGGACAACTGGAGTATTGTGTGGAACATTTTCCTTTCAACTGTTTCTACACTGATGAATACCTAGCAKCATGGGTTTCTTGCTTAGGTGCAGCCCCTWGGATAGTTCTTAGGCAGATGTTCAGTAGAGCTGAGGGGGTAATAGAAATGAGTCAATCTAGGAAAAAGTGATTCCTAATCTACATTATGAGTGTTACAGTGTTTATTTTCATTCTACATGRCAGTATCTTTGAACAAGGAGCAATRTAAGGCTGGCAARYRTGGAATGAGAGAGATCCAAATACTGTACTRTCACCCAAACAGCAGAGTCAAAACCCCATTTTGGCAGAAATGATTGGCATAGAAAGTGGACCCAGTAAAGATATACAGGTTGAACTCTCATACAGTATGCAGAAGGCTATTACAAGTCACTTTCTTAGCTGTGCTGAACTGTTAGATCTTAAAAAGTAATCACACTTTACCATAAACTCCTTTAGCACCTCTTGATTCTCAATTCGCAGCTGAAGGCCTTGAATAAGACCTGTTATGCCAGTCCTTGGATCTACTCCACTCTGTGATGGTTTCAAGTTAATTAACTGAGTCAGTTCATCTCCAGAAGCAAAGGTTCTGTCTATATATTAATAAAAACAAACAAAAAAGCAAACGAAAAACCAAAACACAACAATAACAAAAACCCAAGAAGTTTTTAATTATTATTGTTCATAGTGCAAAATCTTGGCTTGAAAAACTAGGGAGCTTCAGTATGTATGTGTATTTTGCTGCTTATATTGTGGAAGTGAAATGTGAGAAAATGGAAGAAAATATTTTCAGCTTACTTATGTTCACAGCAGAAAGAAGAATAAGTCAGCACCATGGATACAAACAGCACCACATTTYATGTTATTTGGAAGCAGATCTGACTACTGCAACTTATTGCCTCACACATTTTCTAAATACAGTCTGTTCTAAATAAACTGTTCTTGTGGAATTGTAAACTTTAATGCTAGTTTATACTGGTATAGGAGTCTCTGGCCACATCTTCACAGGCAATCATCTGAATTTTTCCAACACTTCCACAACAATTAGTATTGCCTTACCCCACTGCTCAGAAAAATCACTGTAAATTCTTCTTTGTAAAGTAAGCAAATACATTTTCTTTTAATTGCACCTCATACTTGCCTTCAAGAACAAGATATGAACTATCTTTGTTGCGCCAGAGTCAGGATTCAGTTTTACTACTTAGCTCATCCTGAAGTATATGTTCTAATCCAATACTTGACAGATTAAGAAATGGAAAAACATTTCATCTCCAGAWATATAACTACAGAAGCAGTTTGAAAAACTTTGGTTCCCATGTTGAGTAAAAGCAGTAGCTTGTTATGTAAAAAAATATTATTTTGAGGCAGAATAATTATGTAATTTGGTTTTTTAGTCATAGGCTACTGTTTGCAAATAACATGCCAGCTGTCTYGAAGAAAACCTGATGATAAATTCCATGGGTTTGTTGCAGGCTGAAGACAAAAAGCAATGCTCTGATTTCCTCTTTGGAGATATCATAACCACTCTTAACTAATCTCTGTTACAAAAGAGTTGTACTTGCTGTATTCTTGTCTGGGCTACAACTTGTCCCTGTCTTGCCTGACCTTCTAGGACACTTTCTGTTCACATTCCATTCTCTAACCAACAAAGAGGCTCCTATTACTTAGTTGAGAGCACCAGTGAAGACATATCCCCACTCCAGAGAGAGCACACTATTTCACATACACCTCTCTTTCCAGATCAAGTGGAATTTAAAAACCTCAAACTCTGAGCAGATAGTAGATGATAGTTTGGTTATTATTTGTGTTTGCTGGCCAGCAGGGCATGGTAGTGTGAGGCAGATAGCTGGTTTGTTTGSTTCTGGTGAAAGCCATCAGCAACTCATTGCTTCCACAGGGTGAGAAGAAGCAGGGAGAGAAGAGAGCGACCTGTATTTCACAGAATCTATGAGATACTGCAGCATCCTTAGTATGCTTCCTCTCATTTGGAGCGGGGGCTTAATTTTCATAAAGGAACAATTAGGCAGATTCTTTCTGTAAACTCTTCTGGTGTCAGAGGGGCTTTGGACCTGAGCTGTGAAAGTGCTTCAGTACATGCTTAAGCACATCGATTCTAGAGGTTTTAATGAAATTGTCATGGGGGTAAAATTCAATGAATATGGGAACAAAGTTGTGAGAGAGAATTTGACCCTTCATTATACATTTTTAAATGTTTAATTTACTTTTTTGAGAAGTTGTGTGGGAACAGTAAGCATACATCAGAGACCTCCTGATGTATGCTCCTTTCAGAGTTGTGAAGATTTGGGTGGCCTTCCTTCAGTGGTTAAAATTTCAATTCTTGAGTGCCCTGAAAGAGCAAATCCCTAGCTTGTATTGAAGGATTCGTGTTTTTTTCAATGTACATATATGGAGGTGCTGGGCTATACTGTTAAAGAAATGAAAAGTTTTTGCATGGTAAGTTGTAAAATAACATATTTCCCCACTGGAATAAGGACATCCATAGCTGCTCATTTCAGCATGAATTCATCTACCCAGCTTCTGCACTTTCTGATTACATAGGTCGCAAACTGATATATTGATKTTTATTTCAATTTGCAAAGAAAAGGTATTTTACTGCTTCATTTTAACATTACTTCTAGGTAGAACAGGAATCCTGTGGGGCATAACATCATCTTCATTGTTCCAGCTGCCTGACTCAGATGGCTGATTTTCTCTTCTGCAGCTTTCACATTCTGCACATTTCTGTGACCTGTAAAACAATGTTAGTTGAAGTGGCAGAAGTTTTGATAATCTAAACCATACAAAGGTTTTGGGTTTAATCTATTTTTRATCACTTTTACCTTTCTTGAGCAACTATGTTCAAGAATTAGTCTGAACTCTGAAGATCATAAATTCAAGGAGTTGTAGTAACGTTTTGTCTGGAGTATTGTTTGCAAATATAGCTAATGAAAACTATTATCAGTATGTGATTGTTGGGCTTTTTCAGAGATWAAAACATACTGTGAATAAAAAGCTGCTGAGAAATGACTGGAAGCAAGTTTCTCACAGCTAGAAACAATTTTTCATGTACGACATTTTTCGGTTGTTAKCTCTTACACCTGAAAGCTTCAGTTCTYTTGTTTTAGTGGTTGTGTGGAAGTTCTTTAGCAGCTCTTCCTGCAGGTGGAGCTGCATTCCAACAGACCCGTGTTTCTGTCATCTGCATGCCATGTAAGGGCAGAGCTGGAAATGTAAGAATAAATTATCYATACTATTAATAATAATAGTTTTATTTCATTTGAAAGACTTACCTGTCTGAAATGTTGCTGATGATATCTGTATAGTCTTGTCCAGCCAGCTGACCTTGCAGAGGAGATTTGTCYGCACTTTCTGGATCCTGTAGGTTTCAAATAAGAAAAAGCTGTGAAAAATTAGTACACAGAAACATACTGCCACAAATAATTCCTCTTCAAGGTTTTCTCAGCTTATTCATGTCAAGGATTCTTACCATTTCTTGTTTATCTAGTTCAATTATATTACTTGAATCAGGGTCTGGGGTTTTTATTTGTTTTCTGGAGGATAAGAAGGCCTAGATTTCCAATATTTTCTGAGGAGTTTTACAGTTTCAAACTTCGAAAGAATAGATGCTGTGAAATTTAATGTCGAATGTCTTGCAGGACTTACTAAGATTCAAAAATGTAACCATGTTTGAAGAAATGTAGATGCATTTGAATTATGAAGATTAGTGGGAGACAGTTGAATAGAAATCTTTTAATGTACATAGTTTAGAAATACCAAAAGAATGGCAAAATTAWTAAATTATTCATTTCAATATTATAGAGAATCAGAACAAGACTTGCATATGCAACCTTTCTTCCCTCCACCCTTTTAGCAGGTGTATTATAGTTATCATATGCTCTTATCTCAGTGAAATCCTGACTCACTCAAATGTCAGCATTTCGAGTCATTGCAGCACACTTCCCTCACATTAAACCTTTTGCATTAGGGTGTGGTTCTGGCCAACATTGCAGCAAACCCATGTTGTAAACAAACATATGAGTAATGCCTGATAAATTCAGAACATTCCTCTGATTTTACCTTGTTGCACATTTGGTTGGAGCCTTCTTCCTTGAARCTGAAAACAGGCTGAGCTTGCAGACTTTCCTCACCACTTGCTGAATACCAGAAAACAAAACCAAAATCAAATGCATGAAAATATAGTTCTGTTTCTTCTCTGCTGCTTACASCAAGGACTTTGACCTCAGATAGGGCACTGAGATTCAGTGTCTTGAACTGGCATGGAATCTCCCTTTTGTGGATGCTCTGGGAGGGTTAGTACAGCACAAATGYCCTATGCCACCATTGAAGAAGCCAGCATAATTCAGACTGCCAGAAGATATGCTGAAGTACAGCCCTGTATGGACAGCAGCTAGAAATCTGCCCTCCCTAACCCGCTCATTCCTTCACAATGCTAATGGGCAAATACCATAGATTAACTTTGCTGCCAATGCTTCTGTAATACCATTGTGTTTTGCTGGCCCAGGAAAACAGTTTAAACTTCCCAGAATCTATGTAATTCAATGATATCATGTAAGAAGAAAATGGCAATGACAATGTCTTCTTGACTAAGTGAAACAAAGCCTCCAATTTGTAACCAGCAGGCCAGAAGGAGCAATGCTATATCCTTCCCACTTGAGTTTCTCCATATTAAAGGAAATGTTTCAGTATTCAAACAAATAGAAAGTTGAGGGCTATAACTCCATAATCTATTGATAACATTATATCCTTGCTTCCACTCCCAGCTTTAATTAGTATTTAATTTTTGAGTGTTCAGTAAAGCAGAGCATAGAGCACAAATTTCTTCCATGCAGTTAGTCATCTCTCTAAGTAGTGCCCTATGCAAGATGGGTGTGCTCTCAAATGAATAACAATAGWTCTGGGAACAGAGGCTTCTGATTTTGAACATGAACAAGCACAGAAGAGAGAGGATCTGTCTGCCAGACAGAACAGGAGGTGTAGTGCTTCCAGGAGATAAGTAGGAGTGATGGGATGTGAAGTTTGTGGGAGAAGTATTTTAGCAACTGAGTGAAAAATGGGCTGTGATTCCATCAGTGAGTTGTATAAAATGGGGTAAAATCAGACCAACATTCATGACTTAAAAGCTTAAGCTGAGTTAAAGCATCTTTGAGGGTCTTGCAGATTTATTCATAGACTATTCCTAAACTTAAAAATCACACTTAGGCATTCCTTCCCTGTGGTCCTATGTCTGGAGCATTTTAGCCAGAGCTGCAAATCAGGGTGAAAAATGTGCTTGTATCTACAGCTATGAAACAGGACTAACTGTAAATTTGACTTGTTTTGCTAATACCAAAGTTGAATTCAGGCAACACATAATCCCACTTCTGTCATATGGTGAGTGGATGGAGCTGCTTACCAGGCTCTGCTTTTGTATTTGGGGTGGAARCTTTGTTGCTCTGGTTGCCTGAATAAGCCCAGTGCAAAGCCACGCTCCGGCAGACAGTGAGTTGAACAGTGCCTTGAGCCTTGCGCAGCAAATCTGTAACCGTTTGGCGTGGCAGACCTGACACAAAAGTCTCATTCACCTGAAAAATACAATGATGTGCATTTCCAGATTCCTGTGAAACAAAGTTTTTTTTTATTAAAAAAAAAAAAAAAAAAAAAAAACAAAGCCCACATATCCTAGCACTGAGCAATCTTTATATAACTTCCTTGAACTTCACATGTCCTCATTTTCTCCCATTTATGGGAGAGAATTTCTAAGGAGAGAAGGATGTAAATGAAAAATAGACAACAATTTTGAAGCTAGTGGAGTGCCAGACTGGTGGAGGTAGAAGAAAATATAATTTGGGGTAAAAAAATGATGATTTATAGTATGCTCTGTTTTTCTGGGTCTGCCTCTGCTGGAGTCCAAATACCAGTGCTAGGGAGGCCGAGTCGCACAGGAGGCAGAACTCCAGGGAAGATGTGGGGGCCCCAGAAGAACCCTCTGAACACCTTCTACATGTTACTGTAAAAAGCAGGATCAGATTTCCAATCTGCACCACCTCCATATTGAACAGGTGCTCATTACAGAGGAGGTGCTCCTTAACTAGAGGAAATGTAGGCAAAAGTGAGGAAGAACAAACATTACCTTAAGCAGGATGTCACCAACTTGAAGTCTCCCATCTAGATCTGCACTGCTGTCCGGGCTGATGGCTTTTATTAGGATAGCCCTGCCATTTTTTCCACCTACCAGTGCAAATCCTAGGCTTCCATTTTCTGCTTTTTCCAGCTCAATCTTAATAATGAAGTCCTACAATAGGAAAGTATGCATTCTAAAGTTGAGTTTATTCAGGTCTATATTTTATTTTTGTTTTTATTACYAAAGATTCCCATTATGTCTGATGTAGATTATGGGATATATTCTACTCTTGAATAGATCTATAGAGCTTCCAGGGATCCACATAATACCTGCATGTATGTATCAGAATGAAAATAATATGTATTTCTTTTCATACTCTTTTTAATAATTGCTGCTGGGGAAAATAACCCCCTAAGAGCAAAAAAATGCATACTTCTGCAAACCTTTTATAATAAATTGGATAAATCACCTTACTTGAGAAATAAGGCACTCTTATCTCCACTCTTATCTATGCAATACATAGTTCATTCTCTTATTTTTCTATAATTCAAATCTTAATCTTGAAATCCCAACATTCCCATCTCTTTTGCTCCAGCACTTCATTTGCTTTTAAAATGAGYTGCTTTTTTAGAGTCAAGTACTATATCAGAAATAGCAGGAAGCTAGAAATGTTTATGACTTGCAGCGTGACCAGTTCCAATGCCACAAATATCAACCTTGGCAATTATTTTTGCAAGTTGAACAGATAAACCATCATGGATTAAATCATGCAGAAAAATCAGTAATAGTGATGACATAATCAAAAGTGAGAAAATTGTTCCAATATTTTTTTTTACGGGTTGTAGGTCTGATTTTAACAAGAGACAGCCTTTTTTTTTGTGAACCACAATCAGGAGGAAAGTAGCTAATCTATTGACATGAAATATCACTCCCATTCTGGATAATTTCAATTAACATTATTTTCCATGTGTTTGCACCAACAGAAGAGATGTTTGCACTTGTAAGAATTTCAAGCATTATATGCTGAGCATGGAAATAACTTTTTTCCCCAGAGAACAATTTCTGTGTATTTAGGAATTAATAATTTAATAATAAATAATTTTTAAAATGCATTACTCTTGCCAAGTTCAAACCATATTGGTCTATGTCAGTACTSCATAATATTCCAAAGATTTGGGGTAATTTTACTCTCTTTTCAAATGTCCATCTGAGAATTGAAGAATGGAACATATTAATCTCAGTTTTCAAACATTATGGTGGAAAATGTTTCACAGTTGTGCTTCTTTTCCCCCGTGAATCCCATGATGTGACATTCTGTGTCTTTTTCCTGTGCTACTTTCTTTCTAAGCATTGAAAAACAGCAGCAGGAGAGACTRTCACCAGGAAGTGCTCAGTGCATTCTTCTCTGTGAATCCTGAATCAATTCAACACTTACAGGACACTCTCCAAGTGCATTATATTCACATTTTCAAAGAGAGGAAGAAAATACATTAAATACTACTGTTGAAAAAATCTCCATATAGCTTACTTCACGTGATTAACCACCTCACACCTTAGAATGTCACTTACTTTACATTCTGGAGAATCAGGAGTGTTCTGCTGAGCATCACAGTTTGTTTCCTTCAAATGTTTCTCTGTGAAAAAGCAACAACAATTTTTAGATAAATGYTCYGATAAAATAATCTRTAGTATAACACTCAAAATCTTYTTCAGAGRCATAATAAAACATTTCATATTTTAYAGGTGAAATACAAAATAAATTGTATGGATTTACGTGGCCTAAAAGTCCTGAAATGTGAACCGCACTGTGACTTTTTACCTCSCTGTGAGCAGGTTCCAAAACAGGCTTTAAAAGCTGTGTCACACAGCATAAGAGRCAGCAGATGGGCAATGGGTAATGTAGGAACATTCTCAGAAACTCTGAGGGTGGCAGGGTTTTTATGAAGASTTAATCTTTCCCAGACAATGCCCATACCACTTCATAGACTTATTTTCTTTCAAAGAAAAGGCACAAAATTTTACAAATCCTAATTGAAAAATTCCAAGTTCCTTACCATGTTGATGCAGCGGGTGTTGTTCCTGGGAGTTCGGGTTTTCATTTGACAAAGAAATATTGGCTTTCTCTGTTTCWGCCGGTGGCCCTAAAAACATACATRYRTGTTTGTTCTGACAGGCCTCCTGCTAAAGTTCATATATTCATGAAATGTAAACTCTGTGCTTAGATTACTAAACAAAGCATCAATATGCAATATCGATACTGTATGAAGCAGTGTGAGATTACTGCATGATTAAGTTTGCCAATTTTCACAGAGATATAAACATTACAGTAGTGATTGTAGAAATACTGTATCTCAGCCATTGCTGTTTTTAAAGTCGTAACAACAATCAGAGGTCAGACTGAGTCRTTCTAGACATGTGGCAATGATCAGGCCGATGAAGAAACACTCCCACCTCTACCCACCCACCCCCAGTTTTGAGGTTTTGTTTTATCGTATTTTGGTAATTTTAGCTGTCTTCCATGAAATACTCTTATTAATGTGTGAATTATTGAAAATAATTAATGCCCTCTAGTTTGAAAATACTACCTGTTTCAATTTTAGAATATGTTCTTGTAAATAGGAGTCTGTAAAAATGAAGGCTCACTTTCTTAATAATAAACTATTACGGGATTGTCTATACATCTATCAGTCATGATAGCAAATAGAACACCAAATACAAAATTACTCTATATTTTTAAAAGTGCCTCTAAAAGGGAGGAATCACAGGATGGTTTGGGTTGGAAGGGGGTCTTAAAGATCATCTAGTTCCCACCCTCTGCCATAACCAGGGACAGATTTCAGTAGACCAGGTTGCTCAAAGTCCCATCCAGCCTGGATATGATGATTTTTGAGGATGAGACATCCACRACTTCTCTGGGCAACTTCTTCCAGTGTCTCTCCAACCTCACAGTAAAGAATTTCTCCCTACTATCTAATCTAAACCTGCCCTCTTTCAGTTTGAAGCCACTTTACCTTGTCCTATCACTACATGCCTTTGTCAAAAGTTCCCTCTCCAGTATCCCTTTAGGTACTGTAAGTTGCTGTAAGGTCTYCTAGGAGTCTTCTCTTTTCCTGAACAACTGAACAACTCCAACTCTCCCAGCCTATCTTCACAGGAGAGGGGCTCCAACTCTCTGACCACCTTTATGGCCTTCTCTTTAAATTCCTCTGAGGTCCATGTGCTTCTTATGCTGTGGACCCCAGGGGCTACATGCAGCACTCCAGGGGAATAGAGGGGCAGAATCCCCTCTCWTAATCTGCTGGCCCCACTGTCGCCGAGGATATGCTTTCTGGGCTCTGATTGCACACTGTTTGGTTGTGTTGAGCTTCTCATCAACAACATYCTYAAATCCTTCTCAGGGCTGCTCTCAATCCAAGCTCTGCCCAGCCTGTGTTTGTGCTTTGGATTGCTCYRACCCAGGTGCAGGACCTTTCACATCTTGTTTTATAGGAGAGGCAGGTAACTGTGCTGTTACACAGAGTTCATAACTCTGTATCAGAGGTGGATCAGGTCTGGTTACCTATCTGAAGGTGTCTTGAGAAATCTTGGAATATGCAAAGCAGGGTCCTACTGGGATACACATTTGCCATGCTTTGTTCTATCACRWTAATTGAGACTACACATAATACTCYCTTATCTTGTAGAAAACTGCTTCAGTTTATAGAAACAAACACATGGCTGTGCATGGTAAAGTAGGAAATCTGTGACTAACTTGGCTTGGAATAAGTTCTTCAGGTAACCATATACAGATGAGTATAGGCACATGAACAATTGTGGTCCAGGATTACTTTCTGAGGTCATCTTTGCATGATTTAAAAAAAAAAAACAACAAAAAACCAACATTGAAATATCCAGTCAGGTAAATGAAACTGGGATTAGGCCTRACTTAATGCTGCAGCCAAGTGTGCACTGCAAAGCACTACTTGCATAACTAWCACCCTTTTTATGTGCTGACCTAGATGTGATACCTCTCCTTCCACCTGAGGGTGCAGCTGCAACCTGTGCATGCTGAGACTCCTTCTACTGTTAGAGCCATTCTGGTCAAGTCTTTGTAGTGCAGATGATTATGAAGTTTTGTATCAGTGACAGTATTAAATATCTCCCGTGATAGGAATGTTTTTATATTAACTAAGAGATATTGGGGCTGCCTGCCTCTGATTTTTTATAGTTTATTGCTAACAGTTTAAAAAGGTGGTCTAGATGATGAAGTAGTGGCTCATATTAAATAATGGCTTGAGGAGTGACGGAAAACTCTTTAGAAAATAGTTTCAGTCAAAATAGATGTTGAAATATGACCACATAAAATTCCCATTTAATAAAAAAATTTTAAAAATACAAACTAAATATGCAATAAATTATTTTTTACAGAGAACTGTACATTTTATTTCTATCTTTAAATAGCTACCAAATTGTCTTCTRGCCCTTAAAATGGCCATAACAGAAATACTGAATGCCAAGTTACAATCTGTTAATAACTTTTAAATGCAATGAATCAATATTTTATGCTTATTGTCAAAATCAGAAGCAASTTTTGAACTAAAACCCAGAAATATTAGCCTTACTTACTATTTTCCTGCTCTATAGGAACCACTGGATTGCCATTTCTGGGGGCAGAAAAAGTGAAATATGTGAGCCATTAAGAGCTGTATGCTTTGTAAAGCACATATGAAAATTATTTTTCAAAACTCAGTTGTCTAAATTGTAGCTGTTCTATGATTTTGTTAATGGTGCTTTTCAAAAGAGTGTTTATATCAATATATGAAATATTTTACTACAGAGAAACATTTTATTTAAATGTGTTGGGGAAAAATATAAGCATGTTAAATCCCCTGGCCCAAWACAGAACTGCTTTCTGGTACTTTTGGAATTCAGCTTTGGTAASCCCCCATATAAAGTGGGGTTTTTTTCTCMCTCGYTTGTCTCTCTCTGTTTGTCTCCCTAGTTTGTAAATTCTGACGTTTGCGGGGGGGTGCTGCCTACTAACTTCTTGTACAACAAGATGTATAATGAGGGAGCAGTTTCTTCTTTGTTAGATAAGCACRAGTTAATAAAACATTGATAAAAGTTTGAACTGTTAAGACAGCCATTCTGTGAGGGCCATTCTGTCACATGCTCTGGTTATGTAACTTAGTTATTCCCATGCTTTGGGTTAATATTTGACTGTTCCTCTGAGATCTTTGGGAGCTATTTCTGCATCAGTCCAGGACTTGTGCTGATGTAATACCAGACTGTGGAAAACAATAATTCTAAAGCGYAGCTGTGAACTGATGAGCAAAATCCTTTACTGCCAATTATTTTTCAGGTCTGGAATGACTTTTTGTTCATGCTGCAGATTAAATKCAACATTTTTAGTACCTTTTAAAATTGTTTGGCTGTTGAAATCAACTCAGAATTTCCCATCAAAAGTAGTTTCTTGCCTGTAGTTGTGAATCTGAGATTGTATGGATAAAGTTGACACTARTGGTGGAAATACAAAGATTTTCCCTAGAGAACAAGGTATATGAAAATGGTATTCAGCCTCATAATTAAAGGCTTCATATTTGGTTTTGGATTATGAAACTTGAAGAGTTCTCATTTATGTTGTATGAGTCTAYTTGGACTCACTGTGTTAGTTGTAATTACAAGGACTTAAGGTATCTTATGGATGTTATATCTCAGGTTGCAACATTCAGACCTTTGAAATAAGGCATTTTTCTTGTAGTTTGTTTTGTGTTGATTATCTGACTTGATGTAAAATTTAGAAACCTGCTTCAGCATTAGGATCAAGTACGGTCAGATTTACCTTGTGGCTTTGATTTGAACATTCTGGGTGGCAGCTTCACACACTCTCACTGCATCATCCAGGCTAATGCCCTCAGTCCGCAGTCCACAGAGGTAAACAATCTGATCTCGTGGCTGCAAACTGCCTTCCACACTGGCAGGAGAGCCAGGCACTATCTCTAGCACATAAATACCTTGTAACTTGCTTCCAGCTCCTCCTGTCAGCTTCAAGCCTAGAATAATGCAGAGAAAGCATCTTTTGTGGCAGCATGCTTTGGATTTCACTGTCAGTGACAAAGTCTAGCAGAATAGATGTGAGTCATTGAAAGATAGGCTGAACAAATCACTGACATTATAAATAAMAGTCTTGCCCCAGTAAGATGGGGTATACAAGATGGACTGAGAGTGAAATGGTATAAGATGTTAAAAAAAGTACAGAAAAACTTTGATGGAGGTGTCCTTCTCTATGCTTCAGTGATGCTGTAGTGCTTTATTTCACCTGATGTTCAATAGTCATTGCAATAGGACACTGAGCTGCATAGCAGGAGCTCCCTCATTACCAGAACACTCAAATGCCTTGCTGTCTGCAGGGTGCCATTGTGAATGGAGGCCTACAACAGCTGAGGAGGTGCCTACAGTGCCAATGACATTCAAGGAATTTGAATCACTGAACAAACTTGTTCCTTACCTGGAAACGGAATACTGTACATGAGCAAATATGGCCATACTGTTTCCTGAGTCTACTGTTTTATCTGTGTGCAGTTCTCACAACATGCTGCAGAAACACCACGATACTCGCATTGCAGGGATTTCTTTTATCATTTAAATTACACAATATAGATAAAGCCTTGTGTCTGGTGACAGGATTCAAGTGGAGATTTTTTTGAATAGCAAGCTGTAGTCTTAAGCTGTGGCTCATCCTTCTCAAACTTTACCTTTTCTTCACTTTTTTCTTTCCCTCCAAATAGATMTTTATGTGTCTCTGCAGGGAGTAGACGTTATTATCCAACTACCTGCAACTTATGTATATCAGTMACATAAAAATATGAGATTGGAAATCTGCCAGAAACTTCAATTAATAGGGTGATAATGCAAAGACCATTTTTCCCACTACCTTCATCAGTCTAATAAGAGATATTAGTCTTCCCTCTYAGGTGTTGCCCAAAATAAAGCTCTCATTCCTTGGTTATGGGTGATCATAGAGAGCATCAGTGTGTCAAAGTCAGTTTGGATCACACTGACCCAAGACCACAATTGCTTATGATTACCTTATGCTGTCATTCCTATACAAAATAGCAAGTACAGCATTTACTACACACCTAGCTGTCCATCGGCACCTTTYGTGAGAGTAATTTCAGGAATCTCATCTGGCCTAACTGAGGGATGTGGGTCACTGTCAACACGACCAACCACAAGGTGCAGATCCGGAGGAGAGCTTTGCAGTAAAGTCAGGACTTCATTGCATGGTAAAGATGTGACATCAATTCCATTCACCTAAAAGACAAACCAGTAAAATCATGTCATAGATCTCATTGACCATCATTTACTGCTCCCTCCCCTCTGAATTTTGCATATGAAATTAAATTAATTTTTACTTCCTTGTTATTGCATTCTTGTGGTATTTAATGTCAACTAATGCAACAGTTAAGATTGGAGTAATATATATTTTTTTAACTTTCATTTTTCTGAATGCAGCGCTTTAATTAAAATAGCTTTTTTTCCCCCTTGAAACTCAAGGTGTTGTTGCAAAAAAACAAGGAAGAGAGTCTTATGCAACAAATTCAACATGAAGCAGGCTGAAAAAATGGTGTAGTATACATTACATATTACGCATACATTACAAAAGACGTAACACCTCCATCTCCTTATTATATTAATTCAGTTTATGTCATTTAATTGGGAAGGCATTTAATGTCTCACTTGTCTTGCAGTGCTCCTAGATTCATGCTATTTGCCTGGTCGTACAATYTATTCAGTCTGAGATTTATCCAACTGAGGTCAGCAAAATTAGATGTATTATATGACTCATTTGCATACCTAAATATGATAAACTGGATGCTACCAAACAAAGAATGCCAAAGCTAAATGACATCGATCTACAAATATTTTCTCTTCCATATAAACTCAAACAATTACTGTACCATAATGATTCTGTCTCCCCTTCTCAACCTTCCATCAGAAAGGGCTGGGTCATTCAAGATTTCATCAACATACAGGCAAGTGTCCATTTTGTTAAGAACTACAGAGAATCCATAACCATTGTTCTCTGACTTCGTCAAAGTCACATAGATTTCCATTTCCTGTTAAAACAAGCACARGGTGTGTTTGATGTAGGCTTTTCTGTTGCTTCATTAACATCTTGCATWATGTTTTATATGCAGGTAGGAATCAGATCCTCAGATGGTACACCAAGAGTGTGCAAAAGGTGTTCTGCAATATCCCAGAATTGTGGGGTTCCTGTTGATTGATTGTTAGGGCCTAATAAGGCAAAGARTGCCACCAGGACCTGGGATCTGGGCATTTGGAATGTGTAAAGAAAGCCTTGGAGCTCTCTGAGCTGACAAGCATTGCAATAGCAGGGTGCAATGATTACTGCTGTTACTGCTATTGCTGTCCCACYGAAGGAAATGCCTGGAGCTAAATTTTGTCTGCAGTGCTCTCAAATTAGTAGGAATTCAGAGCTCATTAGTGTCAGTAGGAATGCAAAATGTTGAGCATTTGGCAGGACTGAGCCTTATATTTTGAATAGTAATTAGCACAAAGATCATACTTTCTTATCAGGACATTACAGCAATATCACTGTAACAAAGTGATTTTCTGCATGGGCTTGAAATATGGCAGAAAAAAGCCACGTAGCAGACTCCAAGTAATTTTAGAAGCTACTAGAGASCTTTTAGGCCTTTGTAAACTGAGAATAATACTACAGAATTTTGGAAAGTTGGAGAAATACAAAGATGTCAAGAAAAAAGAAAGAGCCTTAAGGAAAATGGTTAAGAATTCTGGAGAGCTGCGCATAGTGGAAGGCCTGCATTATTTGAAGATTGTGGATATTCAGGAAAAAAAGTCATGTGGAAATAGCATAGAAAATGAGTTAAGATTAATTTTTAAGAATGTAACATTCTTGAAATAGTTTCTTTTTCCTGGTTTTCTACCTGTTAGTAATTTGGTGGCTATCACATACCTGAGTGCAGCCTTCATTTTCTTCCTTCTCTTCCTCTGGTTCCTCTAAGTCTTCCCATTCGTTGTCACTGTCATGTGTCTCTTTGGTGGGCAGGGAGGATGATGAGGGACCGCAAACGCGTGGTTGTGGGGTGGCGGTGGCTGCAGAGAYTGTCTCAGAGCTTCTTCCTCTCGAAAGTGAGGTCACAGGCATTGAGCTGATAGTGAGATACTCTTCATCAATAGGGGTTAGAGAGAGAGTTTCAGGCATACATTTTGTGTTCGTTARGTCATCATGACTCTTATTAAATACACGGCTGGAAAATAAAAAGATCGCAGTGCTGGGGTTTTCCTCCACATACTTTATTAGATGGCTGCTGAAAGGTCTACTGCTTATGTATTACATTATTTTCATTTTAACTGAATTACTAGTTATGGCATTGAATTGCTGTCTGAATTCTCCAAACAAATAAGTAATCAATATTTTGCAAAGCTACTTCAAAGATTAAAAGGCTTTTGTAATTTACTTTTGCAAAATCTTGAACTCTTAATTTTTTAAGGCATTAGTTAGTTCTTTGGTTGCTTCTCAAAAAGAATAATTGGATAATGCCCAGGACATTAATTATTTCATCTTCCATAAACAAATTAATTAACTTTGCTGCACATTAGAATACACTACAATTTTCATATTAGCATTTTTCTAGAAAAAGGAATGACAGCCACATTTCTGGCTTCTACAGGTCTTTCCTTGGTCACTGGGCACAGACCATAAACAGAAAATAGGAAGTCTTTCCTGTCTCTTTGTGGAAAGAAATCCTTACTCCTTTTTGTAAGCTTGTCTTTATTCTTATGCTTTCCTTGAAGCATATGAGTCATCCAAAAAAAAAAAAAAAAAAAAAAAAAAATGGACCTATTAAATTAATTGAATTAAAATTATTATTGATTCTGTTCCACTATATTGCAGACAAAGTATTCAGCAGTTTTGATGTTCAAGCCCAAACTGTAATCATGCATGCTGTGTTTAATAATTTTGGATGTTGTCCTAAATGAACTCTAGTAGACAATTGTGGCATTGTCTCCCAAAACGTTACCGTTCAAGCTCACAAAAATACTTAAAGCATGTTTTTTTTTTAAAGTATGTTTTCTTCATATCAATCCTTCTTGAAATATTGCTAAACCTCATTCATCTTAAAACCACTTAAAATGACATGTTCATATCTAAGTCTGCCAGGATCTTTTACCCCTTGATAGAAGTGAACTATCCATCACCTCTCAAGCAAACATAGAAAGCTAAAATGAAAACAAATTGCACATCTTTTAAGGAATCACAGAAGATTTCCATAAAACTAATATCAGAAAATCTACACATTTGCATGRAAAGTTTTGAGCAATCTGAAAAAAAAGATCTTCATTAATCAAATAGAATTTCTTTATTAACGCCTATTTCCTTCTGGGAATTKTGTGTGTTTTTAGCTGGAAGGAATGTTTAAATTGAGATGTTTAAATATTGTTTAAAATGCATGCTGTCTTAAACTTCTCTGCCTTCTAAAAATGCAAAAGCTGAAGTTAAATTATACTGAAAATGTATCAAACAAAAAAATTTATTTCAGAACTTCCTTCTTGGGAAGAATTCAATATTTTTCTTGGAATTTATATTTTCCCACAACAAATATGTTTGCTGCAGTTGTATTTCTGCTGGTTTTACTCTCGGAAGTAGAGAAGCAGATGATTAAGCAGGAGCTTCATTCATGAATTGAGTGAAGCTTCTTCACTCAACAAAGAGAAGCTAAAATTGTGAATTGCCATTATGGTCCCACTTGACTTGCAGTGTCAGGTAATGCTGTCAATCCTTAGAGACTGGAATGCCTGTCTGGGGCAGTGTTTGATGAGTGTCAGAAGTGACAAAAGCATTTCAAGTGACTGTGTGGAGAAACAAAAATTAGTTTCTCAAATAAACTTACTAAAGCTGTGAATTAAAGGCCTCTAGGAGACATTTAATTTGGCTTTGCACCAATCCTTTCTGTTCTGATAATTATTTTTTTTTGCGCTGGGAAAGATGACAAAAATGGAATGGATTGTTTTCTGTGTGCCAGTGTCTGATATATCCAAAAGAGTGTAAAGGAGACTGAGTCCATTTGCACTGTGTTTTATTGTGTAATTCCTCTGGCTCAGGGGTTATATTGGCTTCTGAAAACCAGAAAACAGAAAATAACCTTTTTTTTTTTTTTCCTCCTTGATCACAGTTTGTCTTCTGAGGTTTTTTTATTTCCTATGAAAAAGTTTGAAGCATAAAGATCACACAATAAGAAAACCTTTTTGTGCCTATTAAAGTCAACTCTGACCAAAATGAAAGTAAAAGATCATATAGCCAATCAAAAAGTATTTGTTTCCTGTTCAATTGAACAAGAGCTTTCCACTGATCTCAAATGGCAACCAGTTTCATCTGAACAGCACAAATGATTACAGTGGTGCAGAACTCCTATAAGTATCTTGAAATGCAGACTTATGCAAAATTCTAATAAGGTGACAGTAAATAAGGAAAGCAGATTAGGAGAATCAGAATAAGATGATAAAGCAAAATCTTCAGTAATCAGGAGTTATTAGAAGTAGAGAGCCCTGTACATAAACCTAAGCAATTCACTTTCAAAATTCTAAGAGTGGAAGGAAAGGATGCAGAACAGGTTTCAGTATTCCCTACCTTTTGGCCTGGCYGAATTCACATGGTGAGTAGCAGTTCTGCTTCATTTCTTCCTCTAGGGAGTGGAAGACTTTGGAACTGGAAGCTTCTTGTTGAATCTTCCAAAGATGCTTATAGAAACTCTCTCTGGAAGTTGGGAGTTTCTGTATGTGTTTCTCTTGAARCTCAGCTTCCTGCTCTTCATAAGCTGAGCTGTCATCCTCAGGGGGCTCACTGAAATCTTCTCCCACTGGAGAATCRAGGCAGTCTTCGAGCTCTGGAGAGGTGCTACCTCCATCACTGGTAGATCGATCCATGCTGTTTCCTGCCTCTGTCCTGCCTGGCATTTCTGCCTCAAAGTCTTTAAATGGAGATGGTGCTGGAGTCTATCAAAATAACAGAAAGGTTAGTGTAACTCCTTTTTTATCTCCCATCTTTTTTCCTTGAAAAGCAAAATATTTTGAAAGGACAATATTAACAAACTACTTAATAGGAAAATATTAATGGTAGCTGGAAGGAAGGATAAAAAATAGGAGGTACTCTCTTCACCAAATAACTCTTCTGACTTTATGTTTATTTTTCACTTTCTACAAGTGTTCCAGTCAAAGCTACACACTGGATCACTTTAACCAATGAATTATTTGCTAGAGGTTCTTTTTTTTTTGTTTATTTCTGTTGAAGTCATGCCTCAGTGTAGCATTTATATTCTCTTCACTCCATAGCCCATGGGCAGCCATAAATCTTAGTGGAATGGGAACCATGAGTGGGCCATTCTGGATGGAGCAAGAGTAGTGCTAATTCATATTGAGATTCATGACAAGAGTACTTGTTATGTGTCCATGAGTTGTGTTCAAGAAGCAAGAGTAATAGTGCTAGCACATCTAATGGCAATGTTTTGATCTCTGCTATGTCTATGATTTGGGAGCTTTTCTTGTTTGTTTGGATTGTGTTTTTCCCCCTGCAGATTCTGCTAACTATCAGTAAGAACCTAAAAAAAAAAAACAGTTGAAACCATTATTTCATTTATTTAACCTCATTAAGAGCTAGTCTGGATATGAAAACTCTATTTTCTTCTCACTTTGTGAAGTTACAACAGCTGTATTTGAGAATATCTGCAGTTTCTGCCTGGGGATCTGGTAGAACRTTTTTAGTAGAGCCACTAGAAGACCTGTTTGGTATGAGCTGTTTCACTCCACTGACAGTAAGGCAACTCACAAGTTGTTGTACTGGGATAAATATGTTTCATATCTACAAGATTTGTATTATTTTGGTTGCTAACATCAGTTGAACTCTACAGGTCGAGTTGAAACCAGGAAGGGAAAGAAATGGAATAGAGGGCCTTGGTAAAAGGAAAGGTTGCCTTGTTCAAGACTGGATAGAAAATGTAGTAGCGTATTTCCATATTTCCAGGTATACAGAAGCAAGTTTCTGTCAGAAGTTTTGCCTTACCAGAGCAATTTGCTCAATTTCTGGAAGAACACCTTTTGGTGGTCTGCAAAGCAGCAGTGTAACTTCTCGAGGAGCTCCTCTCAACAAATGCAGAACGTCCTAAGCAGAAAGAGGGAATGTTATCTTTCTGATGGAACACAGTCTACARTGCATGTCATTCTATCAGCTGAGATGGAAAAATTTTTTATGCTAGATTTCTGCTATTTGTGCCTCTCAGCAGTGTCTCAGGGCCAATATTCACTAMTGAAGGATTGTCATATAAGTGGACCATAGTTTATATGGGAATGTTTATCTGAAGACCATTACAAACTTCTGTTTCACCAACAGATACATAGGTTTAAATTAATTAGTTTTATTTTYTTGAAGAAAATAAAATTTTCAGGCACATTCAATCAAACATGTGGTAGTAGCACATCATTGGTCAATTRCTTCAGCATGGCTCCCCAAACTGCCATACTCCAGTGGAAAAAAAAATCCCACTTGTAGGCCATTTTTACCATTTAATTTCTTCATATGAGTATAGAATTTCTCATTCCAGATTAAAAAGTTACACAGGAATTACCACTCCTGGTAGAAATTTGAATCTGGTGAATTATATTTAGCATGACATTATGAAGTACAAATAACCACAGGGGSAAAATCATTTCAATCATGCATAACAGCAATAAAAATTCCAGCTAATTAACAACTGGTGTGCATCTAACAATAGATTTCATACATTAGTGATAGAAATGTATAAATTAAATAGCAGAAGAAATTCCCTGTCAGAATTCATTTAGAAAGGAAATTCTAAAGAGGAGTTCAAGAGAAGGATCCTACGTAGAAATCAGATTAATTATATGCAAATTCTGCTTCCCTCTGGTGATAATAAAGTTTAAATGCTGTTTCATCCCATTGTCTTTATTAACCTGTTACCCATATGAAGCCCCAGTAATAACACTTCCTGCTACCTGATACAGGAGCCCTCGGAGAGTTTTCCCATTCACAGCTAAAATGACATCTCCAACTTCTATTTGTCCATTCTCTTCAGCTGGCTGCCCTGGAAACAGTCTTTTGATCCTGATAATTTCTCCTCCAAGGTGTTCACAAGCATCTCCTTCCATCTGCAGAACACTAAATCCAAGGCCTCCCGAATTCTTGGTTAATTTCACTTCAAATGTATTATCTGCTCAAAGCAGAGATTGGAAAAAAGTGGGAATCATATCATAAGTACCCCCTAAAGAGCTGATGTAAACTATACTCTCAAAAGACTTTTTCCCTGTGTGCTGCAGAAGTAGGTCTACTGATACTAATGTCAAAAGAAAGTTTAGGTGTTTGTTTATCTTACATAAGTCTTTGAAATCTCACAGGCAGAAGAGGGAGAACTGCAATCTATGCCACCATGTGTTCACAGTCTGGTACAAGCTCATAAAGGAATGTTTTGTACCAACATAAAGAGATTCACATCCTATTGTTTTCTGACATTCTTCTCTAAGTGTTCTTCTCTAAGTGAATTTTTCTATTCTGTAGCCTCCCCGTGTTAGTTTAGGTCCTGCACTAAGCAGCATAAGCTAAAATTAGAGCTACTGTTCTTTCCAGTCAAGAATGAGAGAACAGGCCTTTCCCAAACATCATGCTAGTAGCTGAATTCCAATGCTGAGGAGTAACTGCCCCATGGAAAAGTATGGATCAGACTTAGTATTGATGAGACAACCTTCAGTAAAAAACACAACATTTATTTGCTGGCTAAATTCTGTGTAAATTATCGCTAAATCTTCTGCTTTTAAGAAATGAAGTGATGGCAGTCTCCAGTTCACTCCAGTTTCATCACTGTTACAGCCTCAGCGGTTGTGCTGTAAGGCTCTCTCTGGGTGACAGCCTTGGTCACACCCACGCATCTGCTCCCTGCCTGAGAGTGCTGTGGAGTAAAGACAGGGGTGCCCCCTTGCCAGCCCCATCTCACAAAGGCTGAGATGCACGATTAATTATGCCTAGGATTAATTCAGCTATATCTAGCCACTATAAATCTACGTACATCAGAAATACTTTGGTTTTGATAATGCAATTAATACTGATTATTATMATTTTATTCGGCCTACAGTTTTCCTTCCAACCCACAGAAATTTCATAGAATTATTTTCATTCATTCCTTTCCTGCACATTATAAGAAGTCACCCTGAGTTCCCTCTTTATCACTTACCATCTGTCAAAAAGCAGCAGTCCTTGGTACCATCTGTGAGGGATGTTGCCASAGAAACAACTGTGTATTGCTCCTCCTTTCTGTCATTAGCAGTCAGACGTGGATCTGCCAATTGGTAGTTTCCTCTTTCCAGAACCAGGCTGGCAATCTAAAACAGTGATGAACAGGTTCCAGTTATAGAGTACACAGTGAGCCCTAAGTCTTCTTATTCTTCTGTTTAGAGGAATCGGGTTGGAGAGGAGCGGGGGTGGTTTTTTAGGGTGAGCTTGGTCACTSTGTTTCATACTAAGTTCAGTTTAGTCTGCTGGGTATCTTATTGATCTCTGCTGTTGTACAAACCTGGCCAGATTTCTTAAGGCGTTCCACAGCCTGTTTGTGGGTGATGCCACAGAGGCTGATGCCGTCTACTTCCAGCAGACGATCACCTGAGATAAAAACACACAAAGAACATCAAGTTKCTTTAATGTTCAGGTTCAGAGGATGTAAACCTTGGGGCTGCCCATKTTACAGCAGCTCTTCATGCTTACATGTGTCAAATTAATATTAATTCATAGGAAAGCAATACTTCTTGTTGTACAGCATTCTATAACTAGCAGTTAAAACATTCCAGGGTATTCTGTCAGCAAATGCAGTGATAGCATCTAGTTATCACAATAATAATGAAAGTAGAATCACTAGTGTGATGGCAGCTACAGAGAATAACTCCACAGTGCTGGAGTGAGGCTTTTGGCTTTTCAGTGGGATCCCTACATGTAATACAGGCTGCGAAATGATGGAAATGATGGACCATATGTTTTGTTTCACAGTTGTAAGACCTCCAACCCCAAATGTTTCATTGTCCACACTAACACKGAATTCTGCAGCCYAGGGTTTTATTGCCAGACATGTTACCTATCTTTATTTGTCCATCCTTATCTGCTGGTCCSTTGGGAATAATTGACTTCACATATATCCCACCATGGCGCACACTGGTGTTAATTCCACCCTGCAAAACATGCCCACAGATTAGCCTCTTCATATGCAGTAAAAATCAAAGCAACTTACACATCCATTGCAAAGTAACTGCTTCCGAAATTACTTTTTTTWWAAATATTGGAAAAAAGGGAAAGATGATACTACTCCAAAATCCTGTCCAGTTGTAACATATTTCCATAGGCCGTAATCTTTTTTTTTTTATTTTCTCAGGAAAATGCAATGTATTTCTATGAAACTATATGAAAATATTTACTAGATGTTCATGATTTTTTCCCAATGCTCACATAAATGGCCTTTCATCTCTCAATTATGCTCTAGCCCAGCTTCTAAGCTGTGCAATATCCATTCTRCAGTTATTAATCTTTCAGACAATATATAAAGCATGGACCTGAACTTGGACACTAAGAGAAATTCCAGATTAACCTCAGAATCATGTTCTGTCCATCTACATCCCCTGGCCAAATTCAGATGAAAAAAAMCAGCCTATAATTTCTTCTGTGGGCAATGAAATGCCTGTTGCTTCCCATTCCATTTCAGCAAAGACTGTAAAGACATCTCAGTCTGGAGGGGTAAATTCAAATGTGGCAGACAGCTTTCACTGCTGCCTTCTCCAGTCCTTCCTGACCAAACTCCACTGCCAGTGGTAGATCCTGTTCTCAAATTTAGTAAGGACAAAAAGGGTTTGTACTGCCACRTGCTTTATGCCAGAACACTTCTTTCACAGTTTGTATGGTAAGAACCAGGGAATAGCAAAGACAGTACTTCGTGCATTCTATGTCAGTCAACTGGACACTTAAGTTTAAAATGTGCCATGCTCTTTCTGTTATTGGTCTATCTTCTGTCTTTTTCCTTGGTCATGTAACAATCTGAGACACAATGAAAGATTAACAATAACACTTGCAGTCACACTGATTCCAAAAGTCCCATCTTCTTTAACAAGCTCGACTGTATAGATTTCCTTTGAGTTGGTTTCTGATGGAGATGGTAAGTGAGAAGGATCAGCTGCCTGTCTCCAAAATAAAAAAATATTAATGAGTTTAAAACATCTCMGCTTTTAAAAATAGGAGGGAAAAATAAATGAAATTAAGAGAGCATTTCCAGAAGATACAAAAGGTTTKATCCTGCTGCCACTGTAAACCTGTAATGGTATCTTCTATATCCCCGATACTATTTGAAGCTTATGCTAATGCTACTCAAAATGCAATCTGTCTAAATGCACATAAGCTGAGTATGTATAGGGAGGTTGTCTAAAAGTAGGAAATTAGACACTAAATGTTCTGTGACTGGTTTGAAAACATGAAAGATTGTAAGAAAATAATCAAAATGTTGTCCCTCTACTGGGAAAGATAACAATTTAAAAAACGTTTTGTAGAACAGTTTCCCCCTTTATTCACATATTCCAGACATGTCTATCATTTTGACATTTCCASTGTAATTTATCCCAAGGTTTTCCTTCTCCTTTCCTTCACAGCTGGTTTTCCCTTCTATATGTAGCTGGTATGTTGCTATATGTTGTATGGTGGGTGTAATATTATTGAGCAACATCAAAATCTGAGTTACCTCTACATCCAGACTATCAGCTGAAGGAACTGGAATCCTAGGGCCCAATTTTGGTGCCAAATTCCGGGAAAGAGTCTTCTCAAGTTCATCTATATTTGTGTCCTGTTCTTTGGGGAGAGCTGTATGACAATCCTGAATCTTCTTTCTCCCACTGTCTACACAAGAGATCTCAGATCCACTAGTGCTGTTTCCTCTTGATAGATTCTTTTCTTCATTTAATCCTTCTTCATACATGTCTGTTAAACCATACCAAAATAAGACTTCATTGAATGCAAATAGCTAGTAAACYTAGAGAAAAATATTGTTATAACCCAGCATGAAAGGACAAAGTAACKTCCTATTTCAACTGATAGTGAAATCAGATCTGTAAAATGAGTTAGTCACTGTAAAATGGAGCACTGCTATTGTAAGTGAAAATTCAGAAATATGTTTGCTTCATCACTGCAGAAGATTATGATTCTCTATCAGAGAAAGAAATTCCAAAATTCCTTCAGTGTTCAGCAGGGCAGGCCATAATAGATTTTTTCACACTGATGTAGCAGGGCCATCACAAGATACCTTCTGGAAGTTGACTGTTTTAGTGTATGCTTGTTCTGACTGGCACTCAGTAGCAGGAATATAGYACTATATCCCAGTGCCTAATAAATGTGAGTGTCCTGAGTTAACTGGTAGCATCCCATAGCCAGCAGAGGCATTTGCCTTTATACCTTTGGGTTGAGAGATGATGAGCTCCACTTCATCRGGAGAGTTCTGGATGATTTTAACTGCAGTATTAAATGAAACACCCTCAAGGCTAATATTATTCACAGAGATGAGTCGTCCTCCTTAAAAAAATATAGATAAAAATAAGATGAAGCACATCTAAATAAGGAAATAAATCCAGAGGAGCTAACTTTAAACTATGCAAGTATGTTTATTCTAATTACAAACKAAAGAAAATGACCTGGTTTGATATTTCCAGCTCTGTCTGCAGGTCCCCCAGGGATAATTGAAGCAATAAAGATACCAAGGTCTAATTTTCCTACGTTTTCTCCTCCAATAATTACAAAACCTGCAAAAACAAGATAGCATGAGAATGCTGACACTGGCAGTATTAGAAAACATGCACCTTAGGAGCAAAAAGGCTCTTACTCCAATGGCATAAGTTTTATACTTGATCTGAAGAATGGGTAGTTTTGATTTATGTGGCRTCCAGGTCTTGACTTGGGAGACTTTAAACTTACATTATAATTAAAGTGTGCTGGTGACTTTGGTCACTATTTAGATATAATTTCTCAATAGCAATGCTTTCCTGGATTTCTTCTTTTAAAGACTTTAACTACTTTCTTACAAGAGTCATGAACTAGATGGATCTGTAGTGTTTAACACCTGCAGGAGGGAATTGATATAAAAGCTCATTTGATAAATTTGAATATCCTTCTACATCATGCAGCCAGGAAACCTGRGGTGAGCCATGTAGACTTCAATCTAAGAGATCTAAGAAAATTAATTCTWTTGTTAAGTGGTTCAATTTGACTATTCTAACTCTGTCTGTTTCCGAATATATTCTTCTCACTGGTATAATAGTTGGGTTTGGGATTAGGATATTACAGACAGACTTGCACCATTTATAAATTTGATTTTTAATTGTATTAATGGTCATCCATGTAACCTGATGGTCCTCTGCACTCATCCAAGAACTGGATATAGTGTGATTATGGTATAACAAAAATATTAACCAAATAAAAACCCAAAAGTTGAGAAACATTCACATGAAGTTTGTGTAAACATTTTGCACCCCCAMAGGCACTACCTGTAAGGTCTGAGATAAATAAAATCAATACATATGTATTTCAGATACAAAACTAAAACCATGTTCCTTTCATTCTACTCTTAGCACTTGGTTCCCTTGGTCTCTATGGCCTTAGTTAATCCTCTGAAAACATAATGGTCTTGATTTATGTGCTTAGTCCTTTTCAGTCCTGCAAATTTTGAGTCCYTCACAAAGATTGGTGACTCTTACTTTATTAWAAGAATAAATGGARTGAAAGGGTTTACAATYTTGYCCCCCCTGAGTCWGCAAGTATCAGTGCTAGCACCAGTATCTGATAGTCCCAGTAACAAACATATATGTTCCTCACTTACCAAATCCATTCTTAGCATCACGTTTTAGGCTGACGCAAATGATTTCTCTTTCTAGACCACTAAGCAAAACTTCCTTTTGGATGGCTGGTGATCCAGGTGCTGCAGAAACAAAACAGCTAGAATAAATGTAGATTAATGCAGGASACCATTGATTCATGTATCATGCAAAACTGGAGCTTCAAAAATTAATATATATTTTGCCCTTGATTTCAACATTATTGTTACTTTTGAATCAATATAATTCCAGAAGGAGGCTCAAACAAATATTCAGAAGTTTTCATTCTTCAGAAAAATCTATGTACAGAAGTGTGTAGCTCTTTCTAGAATATTCCTCTCTGGGAGACTATACATTTTTCTGCAATGTTTTTATTAAGATTAGAATAGTTAAAGAGTCAGGCATATAGTGCCCGTTGAACATGAGAATGATTTGGACACAAAATCTTCTATGGGCTCTARTCTTAGGCTCTGTGGGCCCTTTTGGCTCCAAAGGTGCAATCCAACCARMACTGATTGCAATGGGTGACTTCCAMAGTGTTAACACTCTTAACATTGTGCAATTGCCACAGTGTGTTTGAAGTACTGTTCTAATTTTAAAATGGATTAACCAAATAAGCATAGCTTCATATTCCATTGATTGGTTACCCATGTGCATGTAGTCTGGCTTCTGATAGAAAATTAGATATCCAGTCCTTATTCCAGGCAGTGTCATACAAATGCAAGAACAGAGGAAAGATCTAGAGCCTGTGCTGTCTCATGAATTATTTCTTGAGTTGTTGATCTCAGTTGCAGACCAAACAATGTCCTCTGWGCACAGGGATATTGCCCCGTGCAAGAGTCTCTGGGTATACTGAACTACATCTCTGTAGAGCATTAGAGAATCATTTTGTCGTGAAGTCCCTTGCCACTGAACCTGATGGAGAGCASGAGTTAAGGGGAAGAAAACAGCTTGTCTTGCTAAACTCTGGATTAATTTTCAGAATAGAAGTACAAAAGGATATTCTTTAATCTCTAAGTAGACTATATCTTGGTCTCCAARTGAAACAATAAATATGGAAGGGTAATGTCTCTCTTTATGATTATTTATACTCACCACTGATTGTGTTCTGAGTTGAATGGATAGAGAGGAAGTCATAACTCCTTTGCTTTCCATTCAAATTGATGTGCATTTCTGACTGAGATAGCCCTGATAGAGATCTGCATGGCAGGAAAGGAAGACTGTGTTACAATAAAAAAAATCAGTGATGGTATTTAGCGCTCTTCATTGTCATTAGTCTGTCAGAGTCAAGTTTGGAATGCACAGGTTTATAGCTTTTCAATGAGTATTCTGATTTCTGGGACATGTTTCCTTTTTGGGGAGAGGTAGTTTATCCTTGCCAGCATTTGCTTCTAAATAACAGTTGCCATTAGACCRCTCATATGATGACAGATTTCTCCCTGTGTTTTGCTCTGAGCTGACTGCAGGCATCAGGAAAACACAGGATAGCTTCACCATGATTCATTTAGCTCTGCTCTCCATTTAGAGGGAGAAGAGGGAGAGGGTCTTGCACAGTTCCCTTCGCACCTTTGGACATAGAGGAATCAACTAGGTGTTGATCCTTCCATTCCTGCTCAAAAACAGCTTCTGCTGGTTTTTAAGTTCACATACTGTAATTTCCAGAGAAGATACACAGACATTAAAGATTTTACATTTATTCTCCCTCATTTTTATACTTCCCTATCACCCAATTTGTGGTTTCTTCTTGAGTCTGGTACAAATTTTAATGTCACTCTTTTTCAAGTTCATCTTTGTTAGTCTATTAACTTCCTGCCTGCATTTACACTACTGCTGGCACCACGGAGCCCCAGACCTTTTGGTGTGACACARTAAGAACTTAAAATAATAGTTATGACTGAGTTATGACTTATGCACATTTAGAGAGAAAAACAAACCTACCTGCCAAGATTGCTTTTGTCTCTAGTCCTGKTGTTGGTTTCCACACTGAGGTTATCACAAGATTTGCTCATTATCCCAGCAGAAAGGTTTTCCAGGTTTGCTCCATAGAGGACATTCTCTGAGCGAGACAGTCTCTGAATAAGGGCAAGGTGTTCACGCTGAGCTGCATATGCAGAATTTGATTTGTCTATTTCCACAAATTTACTGTCCTCTAAATAAGAAGCGAGAGAGGGGAAGGAGCAAGGACAAATGAACTGATATTATCACATCTTTTTAAGCTCAAAYGAACTTTAAATAAAACTTTTTGAATATGCCAGAGAAATATTGACATTACAGATATGTCTTTTCTTGTATCTTTGAGGATACCTAGGCCTTGGGGTGAGTAGGAGTTTTCTTTCATAGAAAGTATATGCTGCATTTAGTTTTCATTTCTATTAATTATACTACAAATTCACTGTCCACAGATAGATGAAATGTACAATTCTATGTAATTTAAACCTGAATATCTCTGTATGGTGTATTTTGTAAATGACTGATGTATGAGAAACATCTGTCTTTCAGAGTCTGAATTATCCAKGTTGGTAGTTTCTCATCCTTCACAGCTTTTCCACTCCAGTTTATGTATATCTGAGAAGACAGGAGCTCAGTAACACATGCTYTCCAAAGTTCAGAGAGACACCAAGKAACTGAGTGATTTGCACAAGTGAAGTTGAGTGGCAACGCTCACTATCCAGTTTTCTGCTTTTCTGTGAAATATACTACTTGCTTAGGGACACTGAGCCCTGCTATATACAAATCTGTCCCCTCAGAAGATTTTATTTTCCTGAAACAAGATAGTTCTGAAGGAGGCATTAATTTATTTAGATTCTCAACAGGTGGGCTGGAGAGGGGACTTGGAGGACAGAAAGACAGCAGGCAATTGAAGACACATTGGATAGTAAAACAAAAACTCTACTTGATACAGGCTAGCACAAATATGAGCTTTAATTCTGCGTGTACATGACAGCTAAACACCCATGTGTTTTCCTAACAAATARTAGGAAGTATCCTGGATACAACTTTCTAGAACACTACTCTGCAGCATTAAATCTAGGTTCACTCTTTCCTCAGTGACTTTGATCAGAGGCATTATTAGTGCAGCCTGGGAGTTGCCATGGTGATTCTGAGGTATAGGGTTGCTATCAACTTTTGTAGTGACTTATACATCTGAACARTGTGGCAGAAGCAGAAGGATGCAGAAAGAATCTCATAATCTCTTACAGCCTCACTGTGGTGGCAAAGGCAGCATTTTGAACTACTGTCATTGCCTTACTAAGCCTTTTTTCTGGGCCAGCAAGCACGCACTGAAACCCAGAACCTGCAGTCACATGGCTGGTGTAAGTCTGTCTTGTTTCAGTGATTTGCTGTACTTCTAATCAGCACTTGGGTTATAATTTTCTTAGTTCTCAATTTTATTCTTTTATATATGGAATGTAATCATTTTTTAGTAAGATAACTGACCACCAGCAAATGTGACACAGGAAATTTTAAGACACATTATTAGCGCTCATTGGAGTGCAATAAAGCACAGTCCCACTAAATTATGTAAGAAGCTACAGATGTCAAGCAACATAAGGTGCCTTGAACCTAAATGATATCCTGGGGCCTTTTTCCATGATTACAAATTTAAGCAAGTGGAATTTCACCTTTYRTGAAATAATYTTAATGGTAAGGAYGCAATACATCAATCATCCTGTTATRYGCCATGACAGTATTTGTTGYCARCAAATTCTCCTGCAACGACTCACCAGGTCAAACACTCAGGGGTTATAAATGATCATGGTTCTGTTCAAGACAGTGGACGAGCTAGTGAAAAGTCCTGTTGCTCCACTGAAGTCAAGAGAGATGACTTGACTTCAGTCATCTCTCGTGCCCCAGTTTCCCCGTAATAATCTTCATCCATCTTTACAGAACATGCTGAAAACTCTGAGACGTGCTATGTACCTGCCCTGGTTTGAACAGAATCTTGTATTAGAAACTAAGGAAAATCTGAAGCCTGAGGAGGTACTAGTCACATCTTCCAAAGGCATGGCAAAATCTAAGAGTTGCTAGCATCTATGTAGTTGGGTGGGTATGACTCATGTGCCTTTGGTTTAGTGKTTTTGTCCTGGGACTGAACCACTGGGTTGCATCCATGTCTTATGCAACTGAATTCAGCTCCAGCATGTCCAGATASTACTGTAGTTTTAATTTGTGTGGAACATTTTTCAGGGTACATTGGGTTAGATCTGATATATTTCTTTAGAATTCTCTGCAGCAGAATTCTCCTGAAATCATGCTTGCTTTTTTTTTAAATTTGAGTTTAGCTACATAGTTGTTATCATCAGAGAATATCTATTCACCCCCTGCACATGCCCACTTACATGCACATGCCAAATAAGACTTAATTAGACAAATTAGACTCCTTTAACTTTCAATGTAGTAGGAGACATTATTTTCTAACTGAAGCAGAGTGAAATTGAGGTGACAGRTTCTAATTCTCAGCTTTGGTGAATATACCTTACCTAAAACATAACCTTGTCCTATGGCCCCAGTAACAAAAGCGCATTTATACCTCACCTGATGAAATTTGCCGAAGTTGTCTAGAATTCATCTGTGCATTGAATTTGTGCTGGGCAGAGCAGAGGTCCAGTAGGTATTTACATGTCTTTGCTGTGTCRGTAATGAAAGTGTGTTTCTTGCCGCTGAAGCTGCTTTCAATCATGAATTTTTTTCTCTGAAGGGGAAAAAAAAGCACAGCTTGCTTCATATATCAGTCACTACCCTGAAACTTTGACAGTTCATTTTTATAAACTTGTTGCTTTGTTCAGTTGTATTTATGCATGAATRCACCCCTTTTGGGTGCAGTAAATGTCTGTTGAAAATTCAGTACTTGTAAGCAGGGTGTCTGTTATTGGGATCATAACTTCTGTGTCAAAAGTCAAGAGTCTTAGGAATGAACCTAAGAACCTCTCAATGAATGCATTGAGAGCAGATTGCTAAAACTGCAAAACTTGGCCTTACAGATGTTAAAATTATTAAATAAATTTAATGTGAAAAGGAACATATCTTCAAGGGGCAGAAGGACCATTTCTGGAGAGCAAACAAGCTGGGAAATGTGTGATGCAGTATGACACCTTGACTGTACAATAGTACATTAATATATCTATAATGTCAAAATCCTAGTTAGAAAAGGGTCACAATCTTATCACCAATACTAATGTGTTAGCAGAGGTGAGGATGGGAATAATGATGTAAGCAGAAAARCAGAAGAAGTAAAGACAAGGGAGAAATGAATATGGACTATGCCACAGAGGCATAGTCTGCTSTGTAACAGCAGGCACCAGATTATTCAGTTTGATAGTAATTTGACTTTGGCCTTGGCATAAAAAACTGCAGAACTATACCTCACAAAGAACTCAGTATCTTCATATCCACATCCAGATCCAGCTTTGATTTTAAACTTTTTTCATACCCATAAAGAGTGACTCTAATTCTAGATCTGAATGCAATAAAGTTATCAAAATGACAGGAAGAAGGGCAGTAACGTAGTAGAGAAGAGATTCTGTTAGTTCCAACTTACRTGAGCTGAAATTCTCTCTGTTTCACGCCACTGGAATCTTAAACTGGCAATTCTTGTGTGATTTTTGTTCTCRTAGACAATGATGCCTTTGGCACAGATTCCTAGGATGATATCCCCTTCTGTCCCTTTTTTATCCTGGGACACACGATAGAATAACACTCCATATTCAGGAAGTTGCTGAGTCACCTTGGAGAGAAAAAATGCTTTTACCATGCATTACTCAAAAAGATTCATGGGAACAAAAGCCAGCTAGATGGAGGAGAAAATGCTTTTGAATGTCTGCAGAGCCAGTGTCTGCCCCTGCCATCTAACCATGCAGGGGATAGTCTCAGGAACTCACCCAGAGGTTCTGGGTGTTCATGCTTGTCTTTCTACCTCCTGTACCTGGCCGCAAAAATGTTAAAATATGACTCAGACACTTTACAGACCTATGGAATATGAGAAGGATTYACTGTCTGATCTGCAGACAAACATGAGTTTATCCTAAAACTTTATATTTGCTTTCTGGAAAGCTACAGCAGAATCCCCAAATGACTTTTCAGTTGTGAATAGAGATTTTCAGTGACCAAAATAAAACACGTTAAGAAGATCTGTTTTTCAGAAAGTAACCATAGTAYAAATGTTCAGGTCCTGAAAACTGGGGCATCTATAATCACTAGCTGAATCTGGATTTTAATTTTTAATCCCTTTCATATTTGGAATTTACATGTTCTTGCCATGGGGTCTATCTTTTTCACTTTGTATGATGTGTTGGCTCCTACAGAATTATTAATTGAAACAGATCCTAACAAAGCTGCTTTTCTTCATTGGATTTGCCATGCATGATGGGACTGTCATTAATGCTAAGCTTCACTCTATTTCTTCAATTGCACTGACCGTGTTAGATAGGGAACTAACATAATTAAATAGCAACTTAACTAAACTGATGCTATAAATAAAAGCGTGTGGCACTGCAGCAAAATGACTACTGATATTTATCCATTATCGAATCCCTGATATTTTTCAGTTGATGGAAAGGTTTGGGGAGAAAGAGAAATTAGCAGGAAAAAAAGTTACATCCCACATCTTTGTGACACTTTAGAGCCCYAGAGAAATAGTCATATGAGAAAATATTTCAGATAACTTCCTCACTTCTAGGGTTCACAGATCCTTTTAAACAAACAATCACTACATGTTTAGGAATTTGCTGAACAGCTGCTGTAATTTCAGAAGTCAAAAAAACGCTTATTCCCATGCTTTATAATCTTCTGGAACCCAGACATGTTGGCAATATGCCAAAAAAYTGCATCAAAACTTAGAATGCTGCAAATACACCAAAATGTGTTATAAAAACTCTCAGTGATAAGTGACAGTACCTACAGCAGAATGAAATTCTGAGGTTTTTGTTGACTATTTAAATTTGTTCACCATATCGAAAATCCACCATATCAGGCATGAAGCAAATAGTGAACTAAAAACAGAGAGGGACTTTCTACCTCAAAAGTAATRAATAGTGTTTGTGGTATGGCAAGTTACCTTTAAAAATTCTAGTTCAGCTTCGTCCTCAAATAGGGAGCGATTCATACGATGTAATTTAGCAAGCTCTCGCTGTACATATGCCAGGGTCATTTTCTCTATTCGACTTGCTGGAACATAGTCTTCAACACGAAAATAGCTCTTTCCATGCATCTGTGGGGGGAAAAAATGAAAAAAAAAAAAATCAAAGAGACAGGAGCCTTTTRTTCTTTCTTGACTTTTCTAATTCATTGCTTTTCATTTTCAGGGTGACCCATATGCAGAAGTCACCCTGTKGCCATTTCCTAAAGGAAAGTGGGAACAGCATGTAGGGTCCTGACAGCCAAAGTGCCTCTTGCCCCTGTGCTCAGGCAGGTATTTAAAGCACACAGCACTTCTTTGGGCAGAGGGGAAAAAGGAGCTGGGCCTACAGGTGTGTCCTGCACTTAGAGCTCACAGCTACAGCTGCACCTGCACCACCTGCAGTGGGAGACCCATTGCCCTGATGGATCCAATTAAATRGATCAGACCACTCAGAGGTCAATTAATAGAGCTACACTGATTACAGGGGTGAAGAATGGAAGACAGCATAAATGGGTCTTTTCTATGCGCTTCAAATCTAGGACAGCTAGTTCAGATATACAGTGACCTTCCTATCTTAGCAGCTTGTGGCTCTGAGTCTACGCATAAAATAACTGTGAGTTCTGGAGTGTTCAAGTGGTTTTCTCTTGCCTGTTTGCTAATATCTTTAAGCCCCTCTGCACATCCAACCTGGGCCCATATTGGAAATTTTCTCCAGATTTTCTGGTGTTTCTAGGGTATATTATCTATTATGAAGGATCTAGACTSTCTCATCCTTCTGCTATATTTTCTGTCAAATTCACCTGGCTTACTACTACTCTGTAACTATTAAAATGTTTTTTTTTTTTTTTAATTAAGTCTGAAGGACTTAACTAGAGGAATTAACTGAAATTCTGTGCTATTCACATTTCTTCTTTAAACACTATGTGTCAAACAAAAGCTGCAAAAGTTGTAGAGAGAGACCTCTGARAAATACTGTATTATTTATCCACACCTCAGAAGCATAATTGCCAAGTTCTGCCTGTAAAGCCAAAGCACCAAGTTTCAGGGCAGTCTCATCACTGCAATATAGTCGCTCCTCCAAAATATCTTTACGAAGCTGCAGGTAAAACTGATGCCTTGTCAAGCCGTGCCTGGAATAGAAAAAGGGTTAGGAACTCAGGAAGAGCTTTGAAGGGYATCCCTAAATGCTACAGGTTGTCCTTCAGTCAGCAGAATTGTGAACTTACTGAATAACATTAAAGTGGTTGACAAAGAATTTTATCCTTAGAAAGAGTGTGAAGTTAATGATGGACATTTTCTTCTTGGGTTGGTCATTCCAGCCATCTGGGGCCACTTTGTAGAGTTTGGTTTCCTCATCCAAAAAGAAAAATTCTTTACCTGAAATGAGAATTTTGGCTTCTATGATCAAACTGGATATACTTCAGCAGCTCAAAGTTCTGCTGTCTTCATAGAGTGCATCACTAGCAATAAAAAATAAAATGGATTGGGTATGACAGCTGAGATKTACTTCTCTGTTTATGATCTAATTTATTGCTCCTTGGATTGAGAATTTAGGACAGTATGTAATTTTGGATTACAAATGTTAGATGCTGGATTAGTATGGTATCTGTGAATTGATGGGGCTTGCATTCTGCTCACCATTCAGGTTCTGCACCTGATTGTAATTCTCATGCCCTACACACAAGGTGTGCATTTTATATCTATTTTATTTATATCTAGGAATAAACGCAGGCAGCCTTTCTCAGTGCAGTGCTTCCTGGAATTTCTGCTGGAGCTGCATGGCTCAGTATTATTTGAGTGCAAGGCTGAGACGCAGCTTTTTCTGCCTGGGAATATCAGTCAATAATATGTATGGCTGTGCTGAGGTACAGTCCTAGGGTCGATGTCCTTTACATCAGTGCAGTACTGTTTAAACCAACATACCTTACTTTTGCACAAGCTTTGTATCCGCTTCTACCTGAGGATCTTAAAGGATCTCACTGGAATTCATTGATAAAGTGACTAAAGAGGCTCTGAGGGACAGAGCTGTCACTGAACTGTGTCTCATTACCTTTCAGGTAAGCCAAGCCAAAGTAGAAATGTTCCACCAAGTTTGCATATGCCACCACAGTGTTGAAAACATCTCTTGCCTTGGTCTTGATGTCACATTGCACCTCAAGGCACTGTCCATTGAGTAGAATCACATTGAGATCCCTTTGGGACAAATAGGATTTCCCTTTTTTAGTCTAAGAACACACAAGAAAAAAATGAAGAATGAGTGCCAAGTACAAGCAATGTAAGTTCCACAGCATTTTATTACTGAGGCCTGCTGTTCTCCTGTCTCTACACAACCTGATGGAATTGGASCCACCACCATGTTATTCTCTGCCTCCCTTCTGATAAATTAACACAAAAAATTCTATTTTTTTTTATAAAATAGAGACTCAGAGAATCACAATGAAACAGTTGAACCTACTCAAACTTTACAATCATCAGGGCTATTCTAGAACTGGGGCTAATTACAAATTCTCTTTGCCTTCATTTTTACTGCTGTCTGCTGTCAACTTTCTACTTTAGGATGTACCTGCCAGCTGAAGAAGTCCCATGCATTGACACTGGATGTCATATAGCATATTTGCTGTATAACCTTTGTCTCAAAAGTCTTGGGCTAAAGTGCACATTCTTAGCTGAGAAGGATAAATTRATTTTTTTTTTTGCACCAACAGACATAAGTGAATAGCACTGAGAATTAAATCACCTCCTTTCAAGTCTCAGTACCTCTGCAGCAACCATAACTTGTTTTGAGAGGGAGACATGGAARGAATATTGCATTGGGACTCAGATGCTACTTACAAAGAACCCCAATTAAAAAATCACTAGTTCTAAGTTCTTAATGTTCTTACCACAATTGATCCAGGCAGCTGTAAGGTCACTGGTGGTTCACTAGACAAAATAATAAATTCTGGACCTGAAAACTGCAAGAAGGCATTTTAGAAATTTAGTAGATGTCTCCTTAATGGAATGAAGATCCCAAACACAAGCATCAATGAAACCCATTTTTGTTGATTGGTATGCAGGAACTAATTGACTTCAGTGTCTAAAAAGGTGCAAATGCTGATTGAAGACTTCTCTCTGTTGATCTCTCCTGTATGGACTCTCCAGGGTCTAAGTAGGCTAAGCTCATGCTGATGCCTTTTCCTCTGTAAAGATCCATTTCCTTTGTGAGGCACCTCATGACACTTACAGAAACCTTATTTATTCTGTGAATTTTTTCTTATTTGATTCCCAAATAACTCTGTGGACAGTCATAGACACCCAAACCATAAMTACACACCGCTGTGATTGCATAAGCTTAAGTTCCTTCTCTAGGAACCAAACTAAAATGTAGAGCTGCTTTCTTCTCCATAATAAAGGTTGGCTGATAGTTCTTATTACTGGACACTGTATTCTTTTGATTTAACTTCAAAAAACTTTGACATGTTTTTTGTAATTTTTTTTTTCTGAGCATCCAACTCAACTGATTTTGTATATTGGGTTTTCATAGATATATCTGGGCTTTTAGATCCCTTAAGCAGACAGAAATAATTAAATGTCTTCAAGTGATAAGATGTGAATCTTTTCAGCCATTCATCATGACTTACTAACTTGACCCATTTAGATAGTTTCTTTTTAAAAAATTAGGATTTGTTTAATAATAATATTGCCAACAGACAATGCATTTTATATCACATGAAAGAGGGACTAGCACTGTGATGTAATAGGTGCTGAACTCTTTTTCAAAAATGCAATTATTATTGCCACAGAAATCAYAATGATAAAATTTAAAACCAAATTTATATTTGAAAAGATAATTTTCTGAAGTATCTAACTGAAGCTCGTGACCAAATATCTGTCACTGGTCAATGTTGARATTCTGAACTGGGAAGAGGTGAAAGGGCTCATCAGCCAAAAACCTGTCCCTTCTTCTTCCACAACAGAAAACTCCATAGGAAGGATCATGGTGGAGTTTTCTGTGATTCAGTTATTTCTGAATTTTTGCAATCTGAATTCTTTTCAAAGAAACATTATCCTTTCCATTTAACAGAGTCCTACCACAACTTAGCCACTAGAAATAGTCAATTGTGTGAACTATTGGTTGGGCACACTCACTGCCAGCCTGTTTTCTGTCCAGGTATACATTGTAAAAAAGAAAAGGAAGTCCTTTGAGCACCATTGGCTGGCAAGTGTTCGGGTTAAGTGCCTCTGTAAATTTTTTTGCTGTTCTGAAGCTGCTGTCAAAGTGGTTGGTGGAAACAGTCCATATGGTGTTTGATGCTTGCAGAAATCATTTATGTAGGTCAGAGAGGGTTCAATTATCAGCTTTTGCACAGTCTTTTTGGACAACTGCTTTCACTGCCTTCAGTTCTGAGATATCACAACAGGATCCTGCTTAATTTGGAGACTGTCAGTTTAGAATACTCATCTAATAAGATGACTCAGTAGCTAATATGCACGTCATTGTTGAACAAGAATTAGATGAGAGGCTTCTCTTTAGTGATATTAACATTTTGAAATCAGATKATATGTTTTTCATCATTCACCTTTTCCTTCCGGTGGAAGAAACATTTCTGTGATGCAGCAGCTGCTGAGTAGTCCTTTGTAGACACAGAGAAGGTGGAGCCCAAGCTTAGCAGGTTCTGTCGGCTGTTCTTCTGAGTTCCACCAGGGATTTCTTCTACAGCACTGACCGACCTTCGAAAGAAATGTCATAGTGAGCAAAATACATAAAATGCGATCAACACAACACCAGCTTGAGGACAGAGAGCTTAAGGTACAGTAARTACTGCTCCAAAATACTCAGCAAATAAATCCTGTTACTCATACAACTGCCAGATATATGATGCATGTAAAAATGTCTGCATAGAYGCATATAAATGTATGTGTGTGTAGACAGGTAGACAGAAACTTCTTTCTTGATAGAAGCAGTCACTATCCTGCAACCTGCTTGTAGATCTTTCTTGTTGCAGGTTTACAGGTGTGCTGGGGTATCTCATATTGCCCAGAATATCATGGCTGATTTATCAGGAAGTTCAGACTGTTTGCTTGGGATACATTTAATTGGGAATTGATCTAAATTGAGTATTTCCTGTGCACCTGAATTACTCTTGTCATGGTTAAAAGAAGAAACTCCTGTCTAACTGGGTCAAGAACCCAGTTTAAATGGGATGTCTGTAGGGATTACTTGGTGCTTAACCATGGCATTCTGGTCTTTGTGGTGCCTAGAGGCTGACAATACTTATATCTCTTTTTTGTTTGGAAACAGCCATGATAATGGCTGCACTATGCTAACACCCAGTCTAGAAAACTTTTGTTTGGCAGCAGTGATGTTCCCCTGGCTTTTGAAAAGGAGTTGGTATCACTTGTACAATTCTCAGTTTTCTTTGYCAATGCCTACACTGCTGTCCATGCCTTGGCTGAAATGAGGCTAATCCTCATTACTGCTTGTATCCCTGGGTTACCTGTAACTCTCTAGTAAAGTGGCAGTGCAGGGCTGGATATGACTGATACAAGTGAGAAAAATCAATTGAGGTGGAAATGCAAATTAAAATTATGGATCATATACATGGTGTGTCCAAAATCTGAATGCACACAAATAAGGACTCTGACAGAATGCCTTGACAGGTATAAAAAAATCATAAAATCATATAATCATTAAGGTTACAAAAGACCTCTAAGATCATCAAATCCAACCTTTCACAGTGTCTGTGGAGCAGCTTCCCAGTTGCTTCAGTCACAGGGCTAATGCTGCTTCCCTGCCTGATGGAGACACATCTGGGGCCAGCTGTTCTGGGAGGTCCTGGCATCTRGCAGGGTGCAGTGATATACAGTAAATGTGGAAATCCTCAATTTGCTTGTTTTCTATGGAGTGTTCAGGGCCCAAGTTCCATTTCCCCAGAGCTTTTGGACTGTTCCACTTGGAACCAAACCAAGTCTAGGTGAATATTATTTATTTATTCTACATAATAGAATATTATGCATTCATTAAGGTGGTTGTTCTACATAAGTGGTAACTATTACCTAAACAGGTTCAGATGGCAATCCAGGTATTTTCTGATGCATTGCCACCCTAGTTGGTTGTAAAACCGTCACTTGGTTATAAAACAGCTTCCATCTTGCAGAAATCTGAATTGAGCTTACCTGTTTATGAAAAGCTTGTAGCTACTTTGTGTCCTTGACCCACTAAGTGAGGGGTCACATGACCTGTGTGTTTCTGGAGCTCTCCCTGAAATAAATAAAAGAAATTTCACAAATGAAGCAATAGTAGCAGCACTCAGCATCAGATGGGACAATTACAACAGGGAAGAAATTTAGACTGGCTGCTTCCTCTTGTGTCCTTGCTTGGACATGATAAATGGCTATTTAATAAGGTTAAGTGAATACTACACCAGCAGTATTCCCAGTTCCCTGGTTATTGTTACTTCCTCTTCAGAACCCTTCATGTGAATGTAATTTGGAAAACAGCTGTGTAGATACAATGGCTGTCATTTCCATCTGTATGGGGGTAATTTGTGAAACAGCTTTTTCTCTTCAGAAATTATGCCTAATTTTTGTTCTTCTATTTCCAGGCATAAAATGGGCAGAAAAAGCCATGAAACKTCTCTGGCTTAATCAGAGTAGAATGTAAAATCAATGAGATGAAAAGGATTGTATCTATTCCACTGCTTACTTGCTATGTTAAATATATTTGTGAATGTTTTTACATCATAAAAACTGGGCAGGAGTGTTGGATAGTTTGTGGGTCCTTAGCAAATATGTATTGCACTGTTTTTCGCCTTCAATCATCTCTGTTGCTACAGAATGGGTAGGTGTGGCTTTGTCCAAATACATGAAGGTTGAAATTTAGAGGCAGAACCAGARAGGGTTATGCAAGTGGCAGTTCTATGAATGTCTCTTGTATTAGCAGAGATGTTTGAAATCCTTAGAGAAGGGTGAGAAGGTTAAATTTTTCTTCATTTGGGTCATTTAATTGATCTTATTTGAAGAACTACATATCAAACTATTACATCAGCAGGATGACAGRGGTGGTAAGATAAGCTGTGTGGAAGCAATCATTTAGATAAAACATTCATGCACTACACCCTGAGACTTCACTCTGAATTCCAACACRAAAACGTGACATCGAATTCTAGTGTACCAACCAACCAAGGGCAATTTAAAAACCTAAAAAATCTACAGTCACATTGCTAAAATAAGCATAAACATGTGGGGGTTTTCAAGCTGCAGATGGTAGTGACAAAATGTGAGATTTGAGATAAGCTAGTTACCAAAGTTAACAGTCCTGTGTTCTGAAACGACACACTTTTTAATGAGAAAACCTTGCAAAATTCTCTGCTTACACTGTAGTTTTCACATCACAATATAAATATATTTGACGAGCACATAAAATTCCCCTTAGTCCTTCTATACTAGCTGTTACAGCAGTGAGAYAACTTGGCTACTTTCAGTGGCCAGACTGCCATGCTTTGATCACAAATCCAACACATACCYGACATTAAATTAACATGTATTCCTCAAAGAAGTTGATCTCTAGGTTTATGATATGTTAAATAAGCTTCTAAAGTACACTCTTGATAGAGATATTGATATCCTTTGATAAYGGTGCTGTACTAGATAGTAATATTTCTTTTCAGAGAAAAGTGAATTTTTTAAAARTATGTTATTTCATGATAGAATATCTGTGGCAAACAAGCTCTCACATTCTGTGTTCACTCATGTATTTTTAGAATCTTGTCTTACAAAATCCTGAATATGAACAGCTACCAGTGTTTCAATGGAGACTGAGTCTTGCACAAAGTCACTGGACTGAGCCTTTGTCATTTGTGGGCTTACAAAACAGGTTTCTGTTCTGAGTTTACCTCACTGTGTGTGACTGTGTATGTGACTGACACGTATGGGTCATTCAGGGAGCAGCTGCAGTCTCAGGTTTTTATTGCTGCTCATACTGATTGCAMTTCTGGAGCTTCAGGAAAGCACCTTGCAGGAGGAGAGCATTAACAGCAGTTGCACAACCAACCTCACTTTCCTCATCCTTGGGCTGAGAGACTCATGATGGGTTTTTTCCCCAGGATATGCCAAATTTCTCTCTGTGAATTATGTCATTATAGAATTGCAGTGAATACATAATTTTTTGCCATCTTTCCTAGGGAAATTACTCCCTTGAGATCATGCTCTATGTSTTTTATTTTTGTCTAAGAAATTTTAAACCTTTTAAATTCAAAAGAGTGTGGGTAATATGGTCCTAGATATTTCATTACAATCAGCGTCTGGATATCATACACACAAATTAATGCTTCCATTGAGAAAAAAACAAGGACTACTCAGCAGTTCACTGTTTTTTATGGCATCAATGAGCTAAGCAATCAGTGTGCACACCTTACTGTGTTTTAACTGATATAGTGGATGCTAGGGTTATTGCCTAAGGGAAGAAATTTCTGGGATATCACAAGTTGCATGAGAGTATCCCCTGGTATGTGGTTAGTCCCACACTTCAGGGGACAAAAGAGGTGAATACATAATTCATAAGCAATCTTTCWTAAAAATCTTACCTCTCCTGTGTCCTCGGTTAGACAGTATCAAAGATGTACTYTCAGAAATACTATTAGAGTCACTATAATCCACAGACAGTTGYCTGTAATCTTCTGTTGACTGACTATAGTTCATTAATCTGGACCCTTTGTCTGAAAACAGAAAGGAAATATGGTGAATTACATGCTTTGATTATAAATAATTGTATTTACATGTTAATGTAAATAACATTTGGATTGACAATTTTTTATATAGTCCACATCCGACCATCTGACTCCAATTCATTAAAGACTGAGGAAAGCTTGGTAACTTCATTTTATTACTTTCATAATCTTATTCTGTCCAAAATTAGTTTTCATAATTCTCCTCAACCATTCCATATAAAACAAATTGAATACATTAATTCTATTCTACATGTTTAACTGAAAGGTAGCAAAGTGCAGATAAACTGCAAAATTCTCATTCCTTATACTCTGAGGTCCAAAATCTTCAGCTATAAAGTCTTTCTGTGTTCAGGGTGGACAATGCCCAGACAYAATCCACACCAGAGTCAGATGCAGAAATTCCATTAAGGGGTCATCCTAACTCATTAGGATGTACATATTTCTCTTGCACACTGACTTTACTTTGCTTGCATTCTCTCTCGTCCTTTTACAGAATCTCCGAAGCATAATTTTTAATTAAAAATAAGGAAGAAATGGAATTCTATCTTGCAAAGTGTGGCTCTCACRTTTTCAATGTAATCGACATCCTAATTCATTGAAGTCCTTCAGCAAGTGTAAGTCAAGAGACTTGAATTACTGGAAAACAGAGATTATACCATACACATAATTCTAAGGAAGGAAACTGGCAGGAATTTGTGGCTAATAAGGGGTTGAAGATGGAACCATCCCTTTTGGCAGCAGCAGAATTTCTACCTATTTTTGCAAGTGTGAATCTACAAGCTCTGTTTTTGAATAAACAAACAAATATAGCTTGAGGGGTGATTTGTCCGTATGTTTTCAAAAGAATCTCTTTTTCTTATAACCAGTAATACCTAATAGAAATGTTCCACATGTATTTAAGTGCGTTTGATTCTAGCTGATTTAATGCAGCATATGTGTGATTTGCTGAATAGGAATTGTATTGCTTATATGCCTAATGTTGAGCATATTAAAAAAAATGCCTGCATAGCTYGGGCCAACTTTCCCCTTGTCCCAAAATCAGAATCTCTGTCAAAGTGAAAAGTACAGTGTAGAGACTCAGAAGAAAACACAGTAATAGAATTACTCTGAGGGATAATAAATCTTGATCTTAGTCAAATAAAATACAAAATCAGTATATACTGTTTATTTATATAGTCAGTAGGATTTGGCTTTGTGTCTTGAAATCGCTCCAACAATTCATGTGTGAATTTGTAAAACATTTTTTAATAGAAAATTAAACTAAAATCAAAAAGAAACCACAAATCTTTGCTTGAGTAACCAAATAGGAAAGAGGAATATATATATATTCTTTAATGGCAGGAGGATAACCTCACAGAATCCCACCTTCAAAAATACATTGGAGTATACAAAGTACAAAAGCAGTTTTGAAAGGAGAGGTATTTTATATGCACAGGTTTTATACAAAGTGCTTTAAGAGTCAAATCTGTGCAAGCTGACTTTTGTTATCATTGCTTCACAGCCCTGAGACTACTGTCCTTTGTGGAAATAAGGAAGAGAAACCTCACTGACTTGCCTCAGAGTTTTTCCATTATGAAGTAATTTATATGTAAAGCAGTAACTATCCTATCCAGCACTACATGTAATCACTACAGCATGAAATTAAGCAATTCATCTGCCTTGGGAAAGACACACAAAAGGCCGTCTGTATCCTTATTAGAAAGTTCAGATTATAAACCTTTCTTTACCTTGGTGAAAATTCATCTGGGATGACAGCGTTGAGGTGTCCGATATTTTTTCATGCAGTCTTTTCCTTATCACGTGACTTCTGTTCAGCTGAGAGGCTGTGCTGTCTTCGGTGAGCACCTGCTCTGTCTAGAAGGCAGTAATATTGAAAGTCAATGTCAGATGATATGTGGACTTCAGACTCTCATGGTGAAGTGATCCTTGCCCTCTGGCTGTCAGAGRCTGCTGATTTGCTTTGTTTAAGCAACTTCATTTTCTCAGATTAACACAAAGCAGGATGGAGTATATTGGGTCCATGCTCTCATGCTAGCTAAGTTTAAGAGTGGACACCTTCTGTTACAATAGTAAAGAGAGCACTGAAGAGTGCAAGGGAAAAGGTAATCTCAGGTTGTTAACGAATACTGGTTGAAAACAAAAAAGAAATTGTGGTGTGCTTTCTGCCATTGTCATTCAGCTTGTCAACAAAAATGTTCCTGAATACTTCAAATTTTGAAAGAACTCAGGTGCTTGCTTATTAAAGCAAGCTTTAATAAGGTGCTTGCTTATTAAAACCCTAACCTTATGTGGTCAGGCTTGATTTCACAGCAAATGTTCAGTTCCACTCAAGAAGAATGAATCCATTTCCTAAAATGATGTAAATGATATTTCTTTGAATTTCATTAAGTCTGAAACCAGAGAGGCAATGGAGAAATCTTTTCTGTTGTGTGGAGTCTATTCCTTTGGCCAGTATGAGGTCTATGTAAAGGTTAGAATTACTTCAGTATTAATCAAAGAAATTAAGATACTGTAAGTGCAAAAGCTGGATCACTTCCYAGGAGTGTAGAAGTGGTGTGTGCGACAGCTTCATTGCTTTATTTGCTTGTACAAGTGCCCACACAATTTCCTGCTGAGAACTTTAGAACCAAATCTCACTTCATTAATCCATACAAGCATTAATTTCAGGCRATCACTCACCTGTGCCCTGTGTTGCTACTCATCTCTCTCACCACAGAAAAGGATGTKATTAGAGTATGAGAGTAGTACCCACCTCACTGACACTTCCCACTGCAAACTGGACCATTTTCTTTATGTAGACTTTTGCTGGTAAGGAAGCAGATTCCCTCTGRTGTTCTTCGCATGCTTCCAGGATTGATTCAGGAGAAAGTCTTCTATGTGGCAGATCTTCACACAGTGTCAGCAAGAGTGTATGGAGCTGGTCACTCAGCTGGAGGGACTGAGTCAAAATAGAAGTACTGTTAAATGACATCTCCCAGGGGACTGAAATCCTGTGTAAACTGGGACCAGGAATTTCTGTAATAAGCCTTTCACTCTGGGTGAGAAACAGGCACTGAATTCCTTTAGACTTTGGGAAAATTCCAGGCAAACAGCATAACAGCACTAAACGAGCCTCTAGTGGGATCCAGGATATCCTGACATCTCCTAGAATGATCATCAGCCCAATTAGGGGCTTCCTGGTGACAGACAGTTCAGTTTGCTCCAGAGCTTTGTTAATTAGGCTGTGAATCAAAGATGCATGCAAGTAAGATGTGGTGGCATTAGCTTCAAAAAGGTGAGGAGTTACACCAGCCAAAACTGTTGTCATAGAGACCAGAAACTTATATTTTAGGGCCACTTAGCTTATAAAGCCTTTTGTCTTAGAATATGAATGGGAGGTTAAAGCTACCAGAAGCTTGTGCTCCCCAAATTGCAAACAAGYAACCAAAAGCATCAATATAGAAGTGAAGCAAAATGTGTGTTACAAATCTTTGAAARGATTCCAGGTAAGTAAGAAATTTATAATTTCAGCTAGCAGAGATACTGATAGAATTATCTCACAAATAAGGAGAGTTATTTAATTTTATTATTGCATCCCATTTTTCAAAAAGCACAAAAATGTGTGCAGCACCACAATCATGCCAATGTGATGTTTTTCTTTTAGTCCTTCSTATCTTAGAATAATAGAGTCATAGACTAATTTAGGTTGAAAAAAAMCAATTAATATCATCAAGTCCAATCATAAACCTAACACTGGCAAGTCCACCACTACATGATACCCAAGTGGTAGCCAAGTGCCACATCTACCCATCTTTTAAATACCCCCAGGGATATGATTTAACAACTTCCCTGGGTATCTTGTTCCTAATTGTCTTAGAATAAATAATCTTCATCCTTAAAAATCAAGGCACAATTCATCTCAATAGGAGTAATTCTGGTTTTTGAAGAAACAGAAAAAAAAAAMCAAAAAACCAAAGAAAAAGGAAAGAAAAGATGAGCTCTAACTAAATTCCCTGACTTGGGTGAACTGGTATTTTTGGTGAAGCTTAGACCTTGACATGAGCTTTTCAATCTTTTCTAGTGGTTCAAAACATAAAGCCCCTCTTACTAATACTTCAGACTATGCCTCTCAATCTTTGAACCTACCAGAATAAACAAAAATGTTTGTGCTACTSACCTGGTTTGGAGGAACCTGGTAATCTGCTGACCAATAGAGGGTCATTCCTARGGAATACACCAGCATCTGTCAAAACAGAAAAGGAAATACTGTGTGAAATCAGTACTTAGTACAGAAAAGCCTCTTACTAGACACACCCTCTTTTTGTGTCTTTGGTCACAAAGTGGCAGAAGTCAAACAGATGATTTTTTTCTTAAACCAGACTAAACATAGCTCAAAGTAAAATGGTGACTCTTGGTTTATGGACTAGGTTGCATGCAATTAATGCTGTTCAGCTTGAGGGGCTGAGCTAAGCTGCCCTCTGTTCAATGATGAACTAGGGAAGAAAATTTGAGCTCCTTTCTTAATTTTGAAGCTCTCCCGTTGCTGATCAAAGTTCTCCCCTACCTGTGGGACTGACTAGCAGTCATATGCAGGAAAATAATTACTGGGCTAAAGGCTACCTATTCCACAGCTTCATGCTTCTGCCTGGTGTCTAAGTGGTCAGTTWTGTGGGAATCTGAAAATATGGTGTTCTGCCTGAGGGAAGCATGCATTGATGTGGTCTGAGTGGAATTTAAAACTTTTGGGTGCCTGAATGTTGTATTTAACTGTCTTGCCAGAGAGACTAATTCGTCAGAGAGAAAAAGAATGAATTGTTAACAAAGCTGAGCATATTTCTGACTTCCTGAGACTWCTTCCACCCTCTGATCATGCAGACACTGCAGTGCTGCTTCTGGGATTRCAATTACCATATCTGCTTAAACACCATTTCATAGAAATATTCTTCCTTTCTGTGGGCCTTTACAAATAATACACTTCTTCAGGCCTTTAACACTGATGTTCAAAATTGAATTTGACATTGACATGCATGCTAATCCAATGGCAAGCTGCAAGATACACATAAATCTTTCTGACTATAACCTAATTTGATTAGTTTTATTAGAAATGGGGTGTGATARTAGGTGCCTGGTATGCTGCATTAAAACTCACAAGCTTGTCTTCATGAGGTGCTGTCAAGATTTTCTTTGCAATATACCTCACCTTTGTTAGTCCAAAGCGCTGGTTCTTACTTGGACGGTGGAGCAATTCTGGTGGACTGAAAGGGGCAGCTTCTGTCAGAGATGTATTGTTTTGGAAGGACAAATATCCTTCAGCAGACAGTAGTACTGACCATGGGCAAATCACACAGATGGCAGGGTCTGAAAAACGTTGAAGTAGATAATGGAGATCCAAGCACTGGATTCACTGCACTCAGAAAATCATATTTCTGGCATCTCACCTGTATTGCCACACTCATCACTGGAGATGTACCCAGAATGATTTACCTGACTGGGGACCTCATTGGTTCTGACCCACAGTCTGACCTCAGGCTTGCCTCATCACTGTGGCCTTGCCTGGTGATCATGGGGCCAGCGTTCTCTTTTGCTCTTTCTGCATTTTCTGTAGTGTTGTGTGCAAATACAAGTCACACATGCTGGGAAGCAGGTCTGTTTTAGGACCTGCTGTACACTGCTGTAGTGTTCCATTCTATTAAAAACTAGTTGGTAATGAATGTTTGCTCCTCCAGCTATAGAAGTTACACATCACTTGTTTTCTGTATTTTGTATTTTGATTCTACGTGCTCATGAGGTAAGAACACATCTCATCCATTCTCCCMAAGAAAGGAATATCCATTCGCATAAACTGTTCTCAAAATGTGACAGGTTGCTCAGCAGTGCTCTCTTGTTGCTCAGTTGTGCTCTGTGCTCTCTCAAGCTGGCCTGCTTGGCAAGCAATCACCATAATGATAAGTCACATTATTATCATCAAGGATAAAAGTAGCTGAACGGAGAGCCATGTGGATCTGCCTGTCCTCCTCTATCAGTCCATGAAGGACATGATCCTAGCTGGCACTGCACTTTCTCTTTGTGCATGTTATTCAGAYTTTCAGAAGGACTCTTCTGTCTACATATAGTTGTACTTAGATTTATTACTACTTAATGCTAAATTTCGAAAACAAACAAAAATTCTCACAAAACTGTGTGAAGACCTCCTCTGCTGGTAGAACAATCTGCACATAATCCCAGCAGCACTGAAGTACTTCTCACCCCTCAAAACACTCAAAAGAATTAAAATAACTTGAGCATTAATTTCCAACAATAAGAGCCCCAAAAAGATACTTTTGACCTCACCTTTGTGAAGATCCTCCAGCAGCTGCATTGTGGACAGRTACAGGAGTGCCCATATTTCTTCTTCCTCCAAGGGGCTTCCTTTTGCCCACAGGACCTCGGCCAATGTCACACAGGAACTGCTCATGCCTGCTGCAGTAGATACCAGGTTTTGGACACACTAAAGTAGACTGAACTACTCAAGACAAGCCCTACTGATTATAGCTGTACCCTCTCACAGTAAAAAATACCTTGTGAACCACGCTGCTTTTTTTTTTTTTTGCTCAGAATAGGCAGGTATTGTTCATCCCTGTCTTATCTGAGTAAGAGTAAATAAAGCGGACTGAACTTAGTGACCTCCTGTAATCTTTTTGAGCCCTTTTACTCATCATTTGAAACCCATCACAAGATTCTGTGGAGCAAATAGTTTTTACTCAGGAGATCCTCCATTAATATGTGCTGTTCAGATTTTGTGAGTGGTTATTTGAATGGGAGGTAATTGATTTTGCTGAATAATTGGATGTTCCTGTCTATAAAAACATGACAGAGTTAATCTAAGGAAAAAAGAATGGCAAAACAAAAGATATGTCCTGTAATATAAAAAGTTTATAAACAGTCCAACAGAGCAATTGAATTTCCTTCATTGCTCTGCAGATTGATCAGTAAAAGCTCGTAGTCTCTTACTGATTTCACTGATGAGCGATTTTCTTGCTCACATATGAGACTTAGTGCCTGCAGTTCATCCCTTCCAATATACATATAAACTTGCTTTGTTTCCCTAAACCAAATTAAAAGATGATTCTTTTTGAACTGTTGAATAGCAATTTAGTGGCTCCCAGCATACTGTCCCATATAAGACCTGGCCTACTGAAGAAGAATGTGGGTCCACACACTCTCTCTGTTTTGTCCCACTTACAACACAGCATCAGATCATTTATACAAAGGCACTCTGTAGCGGATTATAATTTCATGTCCTACATACTGGAAAAATATCTTCCTAATCCCAGCCAACTAGAAACTGACTTGTGACTTGAAGTATCAAGGTTGTTTTTCCTTCAAATGCTTTGTCATGCTAAATTTTCTCAGAGAAGGTTTTGCTCTTCATAAGTGGGTGATCTTTCCATTCACTGAGTTTTACATTTCTGTAATGTATTAATCTATTCAGAGCTGCTCTAAGTCTGATCATCAGTAAGGAAAACTGAATCTAAACTTCAAATATCCTAAAAAAAATTAAGAGCTTCTGCTGTTACTCTCCTGTAACAGTGAGCTCCACCGGTTCATTTTATGCTGTGTAAATAGGGGAAAAATGAGAAAAGTTTGAAGTGCTCCATTTACCGATTTGAGGTTTTGACATTATCTGTAGAAAGCAAGTGAGGACACTGTAGCCTGGGATGCTATTGTCTCATATAGGATTGTGATCACCACTGTAAMATGAGTTCACTCACGGCCTGAGAACAGATCTTCCCCCCAACAATTTCCTCACTCTGTACACAGCCCACTTACTGCCACCGTTTGCTCTCTGCCTGCAATCTCTGTGCCTTACAGCTGATTGCTTTGCCAGCTTCCCAACCATYATGGACTCTTCAAGGGGTCACTGCAAGTGCATTACAGTGTCCTGCAGGACCAACTTGTTGCTGATTAATAGACTACTCAGACTTAGCTTCGTGGGGTCTTGTCCTGCTCACGAGCTTGCAAACAAGGAATCATAACATGGGAAGAACGATCCCTTGTTGCAATCACTACAGGATTATACACCAACCTAGTGACATTTTAAACAGAACCAGAGTCCTAATTTTAGTCTCTGTAGCTTCAAAGGGCAGTAAAGCTTCTTACAAACCTAACCTTAATTAGAAGAGACAGACAAATCTTCTTAATCTAAGCCATYACCATTTCTCTTAATAATAAATTACTGTGATAGCATTTCACTTAACCCTGTGGTACTGGGACTAAGCAATCCATTCACATCCCCATAGCCAGAATCTGTGTGGCTGCTCCATGCAGGTAATCCACCAGATTGTACTTAGTGCTGTTTTATTTGACACTGTGCTGGGAGAAGGAGTACTGTATCCTCTGTTTTAGATWGAAGTGCTTATACCAAGTGATTTCAGTGCTGATATTTCTAAGTAGCTTAAGTTACTCAATAAGCAACTATCCAAAGTGCAGGTGTTACAGCTTTACAGAACCAAAGTGAAATCAGCAGTTACACCAGAGATGCTTAACTTTTGTAATTATTTTTTTTCTAAGAGCAAAATGATGTCTCAGATCAGTATGAATTAAATGAATTMTCCTATCAATGATGCACAGACTTCTTGAAAAAATATTAGATTTTATGGATATAGAAATCATAATCTCTTTAAAGTGTAACCAATTATTGCTTTAAAGCAATGTGGAGTTAAGCAATAGGCTATTTTACAAGCAAATTGGCAATTGGCATTTAAACACTCTCAGAATGCCTTGTATCTTTAGGCCATATTTTTGACTTCTGATATTCAAGACCAACATGATGTGGTATCTGACAAAAAAATCTAACTGTGTGAGTGCTTGCAAAAAAAACCTATAGCCAGGATAAGCTATGTGTATTATAAGAGAGTAAAAGGGATCGAAAAATATTGTTATCATTGGAGCACTGCCCATGTTCAAATGATCCCTCATTGTAATAAAAGCTGTGATCCAGAACCAAACAATTCTGACCTTCAAACAACCTACAACTCACAAGACAAGGCAGACAAATGAGGAGGCAAGAAGGAAAAATTAACAGCAACCTTGCAAAAAGGGACTTCTTTTCAGTGGCACTACATATCAGGAAATTATGCTGGACCTGGTTGAGCCTGCAGGGAAGAATTAGAGCGGCAAAATATAATCACCCAGTTTGGAGTTTGGCCAGGTTATAGAGGTTAATGTTTTTGTGRCTGGGAAAAGTAGCAAAGGGCTTCCAGTGCCAATTCATGCTTTGAGATCAAAGGCTGATTTTGCTGATTTCYATGGAAGAAGATAGTACCATCCCAATTAGCCTAAAATATCCTCCCTGTTCTAATCTTTGGCACACATTTATTCATTACATGGAATCTAAAGCAACAGATTTTCCCCTGCTCTTCTTGCCTAGATTTGGAAAGAGCATAGAAAGGTTGCATTGGGATGAGGCTATTTTGCCAGCAACACCCACCTAGTTATCACATTTCTTATTAAATTATTCTGTTTTGATACATTTTATTTTATCAGATGTGCAAATTTTTGTCCACTGAAAGCAGAAGTCAATGAAAGAAATTGATTTTATCTGAAAGTAAACAAACTAGAGTTTTGCATCGGAATTTGACACAGCAACAATTGTGCATTTGTAATTTCATATGCCAGGGTCACGTTATTGGATTTGGCAGTCTTATTTTGTAAAATGTAAAGGAGCAACTTGGCTTTGTTCAACTTTCATCTTTACTTTTGCTATTCTGTTTACTGTGTAAAGAAAGCAAAAGAGCTAAAAACTATTACTTTTGTAGGAAAACTGATCTTCCCTTATCAAACACAGMCAAGTGCAKTAAAAATCCTCAAGAGCAATGGGTYARCTGGATTCCTAAGTGACAGCCCTTTTCATGCACACTTATTGGAGGGAATTTACTGGGGAGTTGGTTCAGCTGTACTGTAAGTTTCATGGCATGAAAGTCAATGCACTATCCGGATGGTGTTGAAAAAATAGATGAAGGGAGATCATAGGAAAACACCAGTGAACAAGATGATGAGGAAGGAGAAATCACATTTAGGTTATGAAAATACAGAGTCAAGTTTGTTTCTGGTCTGAATCTGAAGCAACAACAGATTTTCCCCAACTGGACATCCTGAAGAACAACTGGAAATGAGAACTTAAGCAAAATAGTTTCTGTATAAACACAACAACAGCAATAGCAATAACAACAACAACAAAGGATTAACCTTGGTAGGAACCAAGCATTCTGTGAACTGGAAAGGCTTCTGTCAAATCAGAAAAGCCTTTCAGTTTTACTGCCTGGAAGCTGGTTTTGCAGAGGTCTTCTCTTTCGTGTGACTGAACTTCCAGTTCTGCTTCATTACTCTCTGTGTGTATACTGCAAAATACCTAGCTGTAAACTTAACCAACTTTGAATTTGCTGGAAGGTGCAAACAAACGTAGATTTTATAAACACTTCTGTCTGGGAAGGCCTGTTCATGGTTTGGACATACATGCCTGTCACAGCCTCTCTTTTAGAGGTAAATAAATTGATTTTGACAAGAGTGAGCCAGAGAGGGACCACTAGGTAAGTCCTCTGACAGACGTAGAGGTTGGTAACATTGCCCACTAACCTCACTAAAAGAGTGTGGGTATGTACTAACAGGCAAGTGAGAGGGATTTGGAGTGTAGCTTCTTCMATTTGCACTATATCCAGGGAAAGTTCTCACAACAGTCCATGGAAGCTGGCAGAAATCCACTGCACTTGAAGATGTAGGAAGTTGGCTAATGCTAATTTTGCTTAATTTAACTGCAATGCTTGAGTATTTATCGGTCACTTTCAAGGGCAACTTTAGAGATGAGGAATTGCTTCTTCCAGTGATAACTGATAAAACTATGCACAAGTCTGTAAAAAGATGCTCTTTAGTCAACTTTCTCTAGACAYGGTATTTTCCTTAGCCTTTTATCCCTTTCATCTGTTGTACTCCAATTTTTTAGCTGTATTAACAGTCCCTTTTCGGACTCAGGTGCTATCTGACAGTCTAAAGGCACCTTCTATAAACAAATGACCAAACCCAAGGAACCTCAATCCTCCTTCAGTATAGCCAAAGTCAGAACTTCTTGTATCAGTGGCAGCAAGATGCAGTGGGGGGAAAAAACCTTTATGGAAGAAGGAAATTAGCCAGAGGGCTTCAGGTCCTGTTCTGCAAAACATCAAACAATTTGCTTTCAAGATTTCTGTTTAAACTCCAAGAAATATGGGAACTTGACGTGACACTTTTCTAGGGTGTTGGAGGGCGAATTGATTTTAAGGACTGAAAGCTGGTCCATGGAGACAGATTGACAAGACAGGCTTGCTAATTCCAAAAGATCTTTTAAAATGAAAAGTTACAAGGAAAATGTGTTTTTAGYCATCATCCTTTTACTTGACCTGAGTGGTGGACAGTGGGTTAATAACATATCAAGTAATGTAA